GAATCCTGGGCCGATGAACGGAACCCCACACCGGAGTACGGAGGCACGCCGGGCGCGTCAGAATAACAAATCGGGCAAATTGACAACAGGCGCGCGGCTCGCATTGATAGGTTACATGCCACTGGACCAATTAAGTATCTTCGGCATTTACTCCTCTGGTTATCTTTCGGTCTACGCAGTAGCTTTAACTCTCTTACCCCGGATCATCCACTATGTGAGTTAGTGCTTTGGGGATTGATTGATACTCTTTCCATGCATTTGATCTGACGTGTATTCCTGGATTGTCAGGCAACAACCGAGATAGGCCCCAGCTAAAAGGCTAATCACGTGGCGCTCGTTATCACCGCCGGCCGATCGTCGCGCCGCTATCTGGGGGCTATTCGTCCATCATCATCACCGTCGTTCTAAGATCGCCACAAGCGCCCTTCGCGGTCGCTCCTTTTTCTTTCATTCATTCCCTTTCCATGGACGCTATGCTGCGTCTTCTGCTTTTATCTTCCGACCTATCATTTTTGCTGAGCTCTTAAAGCTCAATTGCTCTGCTTCTAGGCAGCTGTTCCCTGAAACCTCGGCTCAAGCACCGGCTTCTCACAAACCCCCTCCGGCTGTTGGCTGGACACTTGCAACGATCGTGCATAGCGCAGCGAAATTGACATAATGTCGGCCGGGACACCCGTATCCATCGTGGAGACAGCTCCTCCTAGTCATGGGCTTGGTCATTCTCGTGGTCACCGTTCGCGATCGTCTCGCAGGTCGCACGGGCCAGTTTCCATTTCGGCCTCCTCTTTCGACCTGTCTTCAGCAAATCAACAGCCCCCACAACCTGTGATCAGCCCTGTACTTCCCAATGGCAACTCTGAAGATCCCGCCGGACATGCGCATCACCATACACACTCCCATGCATCGACTCATAGCGTCTGGGAAGCATCTGCTCATGAGCACTCCGTCTTTCCATGCAACCATGCACATAACACGAAGAATGATAGCGCTGCAGGGCTGATTGGTGCTCAAGTGCTCAAAGGACCAGTCGAACCTGGACCAAATACAATGTGAGTTCCCCAGTCGCGCTCTCCCAGCCAGTAATAACAATATGAAAAGTCAAGATGCTATCGCTGGACCACTCCTGGCTCTGCCATGGATCGCCCTTTCCTGGTATTACCAACATCATGCGCATTGGAAGATACAACAGAGAGTTTCAGACGATTCTGACGCGATCGCTTCGAGTATCGGCAAATTAGAACAAGTCGAACGGAAGACCGCCATGCTGACAGCAGTTACACTGATACTATATGGATGCGGACAGATCGTGCGATCGGCGCAGCGGGGAGGATTGGACTCCGCTTCTGCACTTCCCCCGGTCAACTCAAGCACGGCACGGATGGCACTTCTGCAAGCGGCTTCTCTTGCGTTGCCCATATATGCTGGTCTGAAAATTGGAGGGTTCCTGGTGGCTTTCAGCTTGCTCCTTGCAGTAGCCTCTGGAGTGCCTACGCTCCTTCAGGGTAATGGAGCCCACAGCAGTGGCCAATTTCGATTCAGTCAAAAGAAAGCAAGCGGTGCTGTTCTTGTCGCGGTCATCGTGCTGAGCTTTTTGGGCTTGAATGCAACCTGGGATGATCACCCTTTCTTCGGTTACGCTTCTTTGCTTGTGTCCGTCTTTGTACTTCGTCCTCCCCTCTCAGGGGCCAAGTCGGCTGATGTTGACCTCTCTACGCCCGCATCGTCCAAGAAGCAGTTTCCAGAGACGGGTGCAAGCGCTACTTCAGCTGGTGATTCTGTGTTGGCTATTTTGTCAGGCTTGTCTCTGACACTCGTCACAATTGTTGTTTCTGGAAACATCTCGTTCGAGGTCCCCGACATGACTTATCACTTTGCCGCCTCTGGTGCATTTGCAATCAGTCTGGTCTCTATTGCCCCTTCGGATCTACAGTCGCCGCATAAACTAGGCCTCGTTCTTGGGACGGGTAGCGCTGCCCTCTTCTCCTCACCTCCGCTACAGGACAACGCTCAGGTCATCTATGTCTCTCGGATCATCGTTTCACTCGTTTCCTACCTTGCTGCCCGTTTTGATGGAAAGAATCTGCGCCATTCTGCGCATTCCCATGCTCATGAGCAGCACAGCCATCCATCCGCCGATGCTTCCAAAATTACCAAATTTATCCTCCATCATAGCGAATCGTATCCGCTTCTGTACAGTATTCTCAAGGAAAGCGATTCGCGACGTATTTTCTACTTCATGTGGTGAGTTCTCGTACCAATCTACTATGTTTCACCATTGCTAACTCTTTTTAGCCTTAACTTCAGCTTCATGCTCGTTCAATTGGCATACGGCTTCTTGACTGGGTCCCTGGGGCTGCTCAGCGATAGTATTCACATGTTCTTTGACTGCCTTGCTCTAGTCGTTGGTCTTTGTGCTGCTGTCATGAGCAAATGGCCTCCGAGTTCGAGGTTTCCCTACGGCTATGGCAAAGTCGACACGCTGTCTGGTTTTGCTAACGGCATCTTTCTCATGTGAGCAATGCAAACCATCAAGGCTATAGCCTACGACTAATGGCATGCAGGATTATCAGTATTGAAATTATCTATGAGGCGGTAGAGAGGCTGTCTTCTGGCAGCCAAATGCACCGCATTGGTGAGCTTCTCGTTGTCAGCATTGCGGGTCTATTAGTCAACCTCGTCGGAATCATGGCCTTTGACCATGGACATGCGCATGGTCACGACCATGGTCACGGACACTCGCACGGTAACGAAAACATGCACGGCATCTTTTTACATATTCTCGCCGATACGCTGGGATCTGTGGCTGTGGTGATCTCAACCATTTTAGTCCACTACTCTGGCTGGCCAGGGTATGACCCCATCGCCTCGTGCTTGATCGCAATCTTGATTTTTGCCTCGGCAGTTCCGCTCGTCAGCAGCACAGCGAAGACACTGTTACTGGCGTTACCGGCTGATGTGGAGTACAATGTGCGCGAAGCTCTAGCCGGCGTCAGTACTCTCCGAGGAGTTGTCGGGTACACAGTACCTCGATTCTGGCTGGACGACACAGGCAAGGAGTCTTCTGGTCATCACCACCACCATGGTCATGATCATGGTCACAGCCACTCCCACGGCCATAGCCAGAGTCACGGTCATGACCATGATCATGATCACAACCATTCGCACTCCCACAGCCATGGTCATGGCAGTGATCGCTCGCACTCTCACTCTTCCACCCACAATCATGCCCATGGCCACAGCCACGATCACGGCAGTCACTCTCATTCCCACAGCCATGACCACCACGACCACTCCCACGACACCCATAACCCCAAACTCCTCGGCGTCATCCACGTGATTGCTTCCCGCGGCGCTGACCTTGAAGACGTCCGCCAGCGCACAGTCAACTATCTTCGCGAGAAAGACATGGACATCCTTGTTCAGGTCGAACGCGAAGGAGACGGCCGGTGTTGGTGCGGCGGAGGTGGGAACAAGACCTCCTAAACCATTTCACGTTCTTCTTTTCTTTTAAAGTATACATAATCTTTCAAGATGACTCTGGATCGGGCTGGATAGACCGGTCTTGAGGGTTTTTCGCTGACATTTTCCCTGATTTACTTCACATGACGCTGTATGTATGTATCTATGTTTCATTCAACTTTCGTCCTTCTTGTCTCTCTTTTTATAAAAGGGTGGTATTTTCTCAGCAATTGGGTGGCTGTCCATAAAAGGGTCCGTCAATAGTCATATTATTATAGGGTTATGCGTTCCAAGCAGTCGTCTGGAAGGGGTAGCGACGGGTATGTAATGTACTATAGTCATTCATGAGTGTATAAGAATCAAGGGAGGCCGCAATCTGTTCCGTTCTTTCACATATACACGGAGCAAATGAGTTACATATGGCTGTATTGCACCCCTAACTCGATGGGTAAAAAAGAAACCAGACGCACACAAGAATGGCCCATTCACTATTGGAGGTTTCAATGTTACAATTCAGTCACGTCGCACATGTGCGCTCTTCACATGAGATTGAATCATCAAATTATGAGCACCCTGCTTCCCCCGCCGGCCATAGCTCTCCTATCTCTCCTAGCGTTCCAGCACGGAAAGCGTGACTTGAATGATTCCACGTAGCGAGTCGCAGGTGTATCCTCCTATTATAACATTACGACTTCAATATCAAAGGTACACTAAATCCTCATTCTAGATTCAAGCATCAGGAGCCGCCGGATCTCTATTTACTGCGGGTTAATCAGACAATCTGCATGGACCCCGTACCCGCTTTTCCCGGATATAAAAGTAGGAGTGAAGCACAATGGGGGGATGCTATACGTGCAGTAGTACCGTAGCTAAATACCAGCTAGGCAGCTTAGTGGAAGCCAAAGCTCATTCTTTTCTGGAGGGTAGGGTAGTGGGAGGATGTTTGGCTCGGGCACTGTACTACAGTACTGTCTGTATCTTTTATGTAGAATAGAAAATGCCGCGCTGATTCGTCTGAGCGGAAATGAGACTCCAACTCTAATTTCACCTAGCACCTAGTATGTAGTGATCAAGTTTGTGGAGAGAGAATTTAGATCTGATTTTCGGCATGATTTCCTTAAGGTTTGGCGTATGTGGACTGTACGATACCTTGTAGCTCATGGCTTGTGACATGGAAGGGAGGGGAGGACGGGGCTGAAGGTTCCAGGTTGTCGTAGGCGTCCACGGTATAGGTAGCTACTACTTACTTAGGTAGCTACCAAGTCCCTTTGGGTAGGTCACTCTGCGAGGTAAGGAATGTATGGGCTTGTCCCACCTACTCTCGGTTCTTTTTAAAACTTCACTTGATCAACTCGGTTGAAGGAATTGATCACTAGATTCTTAGTTGAATTATGCAAAGGAGGGCTCTACCATCGCGAAAGCTGCTGTCGTCCAGACGTTGCAGATACTGCATCAGTTGTTATATCATTGCACATTGCTATATCACGGAGATAGGGAGTCAAGTGCAACGCAACAACATATACAACTAAAAGCAATCCCTGATGTCCATCGCCCTCCTTTCCACCCCCTCACTGCACGAGGAAGAGATCAAGCGCAGAGGGTATGCAACCTCATTCGAGAAACACACCGTCTTCCTCACCGGCAGCACCGGCGCGCTGGGAGCCGTGCTCCTCTACAAACTCGCGGTGCAGGTCCCCACCCACAAGATCTACGTCCTGATCCGGGGGTCCCCGGACCTCGCAATCCAGAAATGGAAGAAGGCGATGCCCGTGCAAACGCAGCCGGTCCTCCGCTCCCGGAAGGTTCAATTTGTAGTGGGGGACATGACGGAACCGGACTTTGGGATCGATGCGGCGGTGATGGATGAGCTGCGCCAGCAGGTCACGCTGGTGATCCACGCGGCCGCCAAAATCACCCTGGACGCGGACGTTGCGGAGGCGGTGGAGAACAATTGTCTCCCGTCGTTGGAAATGGCGAAGATCGCCTCGCGGTTCCGCAGGTTGAAGCTCTTCGTGCAGGTGTCGACGGCATACGTGAACAGTTTCTTGCCGGATGGGCACGTGGCGGAGAAGCTGTACTCTGTTAGGGTGAAAGTGGGTGGAAAAGGTGAGGAGGATGATCCGGAGGAGCTACTAGGGGCGATCCTCAGAGGCGAAGGTTCCCCGCACGCCGAGCACTTCTCCTCTTCATATACCCATGCGAAGTATTTGATGGAGCGGCTGATGCTGAAACGGTTCCCCACGCTGCCTATGTTGCTGTTGCGTCCGACCATCTTCGGTCCGGCGGTCAGAGATCCGTATCCACATTATGCGCCGGAGAATTCCATTCCGTTGAAGAGATTCGCCTCGCTATTTCTGATGACTCATGGCGAAACCCAGACCTGGCACGCGGCCGAGGGCTATGACAGTGGTGCGAATACGTTGGATGAGATGCCGGTTGACCTGGTGGCGAATGCCTGTCTTCTTCACGCTGTTGCGGGAACGCGAGGGGTCATTCATGTCGGATCGCAGCTGTATGTGAAAATGACGCTAGACGGAATTATGCAGTTGGCGGATACGTACGCCCCACAAGGCATGCGACATGCTTTACCGACGGTACTTTTTGTGAAAGATCGAACGATTCCGCAGTGCTTCCTTGCGGACCTAGTCAAGGTTGGCTCACGCAATTGGTCGTTTGATTGTGGTCGGTCATTCTGGTTGAAGCAGCTTGGTGGTCCGCTGAGTTTGGCAGCATGCCAACATGATGCAGACAGAATCAATAAGCAACGGGCCACACACGCATGGGAGCGAGTTTTGCGGTCAGTAAAGCTTTAGTTTGGGCTGTCCGTGATGTTATGTCGTGATGATTTCCTTTGGTCAGTAGCTGTGGGTAGTGCTCCGGTTTCGGTTGAAAGCAGGCACAAGCCATGCAAAAAGCCTAATGCAGTGCTGTTGAAGAGTAGACCGCGTTTGTTGCAGTCGATGTCAAGCTCTAATCTTCCGTTCTGGCCACTGCAAAGCACCTTCCCACTGTGCATCGCAAGGACGAAGGGCACTCAGTAGCTCAGAAACCAGCGCCCTACCCGAGTTCTTTGCCCACCACACTTTACCATCAAGCTCCATTAGAAGTGCTCCCCAGTGCATGAGAACTAGTAGCGCAAGAGGCTGACGACACCTCAATGCATGCACAAACTCCTTGCTAGCCATCGCAAGCCATCCTAGAATGGATGCTATATCGCGTGCATGGTTGTATCTACAGAAGCAGCGCCTCAGAAGTGCGATCGCTCCATCGATGATGCGATATTGCTCTTCACTAACGCTGTCCTGCATGGCGTGGCTCAAGCTAGTGAGTCTATCGAAGGCGGTCTCAGTCTCGGCGTCAAGAATGGAGAGTTGTGTTTCCCAGAATCCCTTTCGAGAAGTGACCAGTTGCGTGGACAGATGGTCGCGACTGAGGGTGTATATCTTGCTGACACCATGAAGCAATTCGAAAACGACGATGATGTTCTCGGTCATCGTGTTGGTCTCCTGGCTGTCAGAAGATAACCGAGGCAGGGCGATGCCGATGACTGTGGTGATAACCGAATGCGCAAAGACAGCATCGCAATTGGCCGGAGTCAGGTTGTCTATTGCGTGCCGGAACGGAGCAAATGCCCGGTCATGGTACTCCAACGCGGTGTCGATATATGACAGAGCCTCTGGAGGGTCCATGGTGGCAGCGATATGCAGCGAGGCAACTGCAAGCAGCCCACTCATGAGGAAGTCATGCTGGAAAGCTTTTCGCGCAATGACAGTCTGCCAGGTGTAATGGTCTACAGGCTCGTTGCACAGACTCTGATAGGTCTCCGTGGCGTATTTGTGCATCAACTCCAGCTCTCGTGTGCTAGCAAACTTTGGTGGAGCGGAGCTCCCGTACCGGGATAAAGTCCGGCTGTGGCTTGCGATTTCGGGGGACAATCCTTTGATGGAAGGAACTGAAGCAGATATAGAGCTGGTCGATGGTGAACCTATAGTGCCGCGAGCTATTGGGACCTTAAAGTATGTACACTTGAGCTCGCGGTTGGTGCAATTTGAGCAAGGTGGGCCTTGTTCATCGCACTATACTTGAACATTAGAGGTCCGGAGTTGGTGCATGAGACAAGGGATTTGACAAGCAAATCCGAGAGGCGGAGGAAAAGAAAGTCAACGTACCTTGACTCGGCGCTTTTTACACTGGTCGCAGCCATTGCGTGACTTTGTATGGGTCCTCCGAGGCGGCATCTTCCATTTCGACGGGGTTGCTGAGGGAGACAAATCAACGGTGATGCTCCCCACGTGGGGAGAGAGCGAGACACGCCGGGAAAGTCGGTGGAGGTCACGTGCATCGGACTTATCCGTCGGCCGGCAGTTCTGGAAGGTTACCCACTACGGCCACTAAACAAGCCACTGCTTGAGTATGAATCTCTCTTTCCGACTGCAGCATCAGCCTTGGGCTTCTGAACCACATTCAGCTTATGATGTCCTTTATTCAGTCTATTCATATCTTCGAAATACAAATAGCACATAAGCTCATCATGACTTTTTCCCAACACAGGTTCAGCACTGTCAACAAACAACCTATCAACATCAGACGGGCGCAGACACGCGCCTTCAGCATTGCCTTGTCCTGTCAGAGCTCAAACATTTTAGGCTTGGCACATGAGGCCCCATCTATCCTCAGTATAAAAGGCTAATTCCTCTAATGCATGCTGTCTTATATCTCAGACATTCTGCCAGTGAGCTCAGAAGCGTTGGTCCACACCCGCCGGCGCTGGGGGGCGAGCCGACCCACCTTAGAGAGCAGTGGGTCGAGTGCAAACGACGATTCAATCAGTTTGCCAGGTCCTTCGCAGAACTTGTACTCCGTACAACCCCTGGGGTCTCTTCGAAACTATTGAATTTAGCTCAGAGCCTCAGCCAAGCTTCCAATGGGGATTTGTCTGGTTTCGACTTAACTTCCCGCACAGCGCAGCTAATGTATACTGCTGTGGGCACTCAGCATTAAAGTAGGGTCAGAGGTCAGCCTTACAAGGAGGAGGGAAGTTATTGAAAACCCTTCAACCTCGTTGATTCACCACGCAGTGTGCCAGCAGCCGTAGTTTGCTTTGATTACCCTCATCATTCATTCTATATCATCCTTTCTGAGAACTGAGAATATCGAAGTCGTTAAAGAGCTCTGTGACCTAACTACGCCACGGGGAACTTTCAGATGGTCTTGTCGTCATTTACCACGTCAGGAGAATGAAGCTGACTGAGTTGAGATATATGGATTACGAGGTAGAAGCTGGTGCAACTGAGAAGGAGTGATTTGTTAGGCGATTTGCTCTTGGATACTATCTTGCGTCCGGATCTTGTTAGATTGTTATTATAAACGAGGATGGCGTTCTAGAAAGACGACGGCAATGAGATCCGACATGGAGAATGTATAGCTGATGAATCCGAAAGAACTTCGGCGTCGAGGTTAAATTTAGCCTCCATGCATTTCGACCTAACTAGCTGGAGGTCTTCGAACAGACTGGCCGTCTGCCCCAGCTGTCATATGCAGCTGCCCCGTTCGCTGCGCTATCTAATGCAGATAGCGTCGCTTGTGAAGAAAGTTAAGATCACGTTACTTCCCACCGCTTCTTTGACCATGGGACCGAGAAGAGAGAACGCTGATTAATGCGTGTTGACCTGAATTAGCCGAAGATGAGGTCGAAAGATTCAATCGGCTCTCCCCGCTTGTGGGGCCTTGCGAGAACGAGAACGAGAACGAGAACGAAAGCGACCCAATCACCGTGGTTATCGACCACGTTTTTTTCTGATATCGATCCACCAGTCATCAAAACGCCAGCAAATCGGGGTTAAGGACCAATTTAAACAATTCCCCGTAATAAAATAGGTCTGATCCCCCCTCAGGCCTCCAGATTACGAACATGAATCCTTGTCGGAGACAACACGTCCATCTCTTCCTTTCTTCTTTGTCGTTCTTTTGCTTATCATAACGGTTGTTCCTGCATCGCGTTGCCGGTAGAGCTTTTTATTCCCTCATTCTGTTCTTGTTGGTTTCCAAACGTCCATCACGATCATATAGACTTAATCAGCAGAAAGTTTCACACTTTGAAATCGGCAAGACTCTTCCAAACCGTCACCATGAGTTACGGCACCTGCGAAAAGGTTTCGCTAGAATGTCCCGTCGAGGCGACCACCTACGGCTACTACCCCAACCTCGGCGGCAACATTTTCTTCGCGGTCTTCTACGGCATTCTGGGCGTTTTCCAGCTGGGATTCGGCATCTACTTCCGCGCCTGGACGCTGACGATCGCCATGGTCATTGGCACTTTCATGGAGCTGGCAGGGTATATCGGTCGCATACAGATGCATTACAACCCCTGGAACGAGGACGCATTCAAGTTACAAATTGTCTGCCTCGTGCTGGCGCCCACCTTCGTCGCCGCGGGCATCTATCTCACCCTCAAGCACATCGTCCTCTCGCTGGGGCCGCAGTACTCGCGCCTCAAACCGCGCCTCTTCACCTGGATCTTCATTAGCTGCGACGTCGGGTCCCTCGTCCTCCAGGCGGCCGGAGGTGGTGTCGCCGCCGCGGCCGGCAAGACCGACCAGACCCTCCTGCAGGTCGGAGACGACATCATCATCGCTGGTATCGCGTTCCAGGTGGCGACCATGTCAGTGTGTGGGCTGATCGCGCTGGAGTTTTTCATTCGGGTCGTTCGGCATGGGCCTGGCTTGGGCGGTGATGTCAACGTGGAGGGGGTGAAGCATATTCGTCTGGTCATCTATGCGGAGATCTTCGCGTATTTCACCGTGTTGATTCGGTGTATCTATCGGTAGGCTGCTTCCTTTTGCATTGTTGTTGAGCTTACACCAATAAGATGATCGCTAACGATGCTCTTGTTGGACAGTATCCCCGAGATGGCTGGTGGATGGGGTAATCCCCTGATGCAGAAGGAAGACGAGTTCTTGGTGCTGGATGGAATGTATGTCGATTTCCCTCGAGTGCGCACTGGTACCTGGCTAACATGTGTGATAGGATGATCGCATTGGGAGTGGCCGCCCTTACCGTCGTGTATCCGGCGTTTTTCCTGCCGTCTATGCGGAAGGGACGGCAGACGGAGAAGGCATAGATGTTTTTGTTTATTGACATATATACACATACAGATATAGATACCCTGAATTTAAGTTGGTTGCTTTTTTTATATGAGATGAAAAAGTCTGAATCAAGCTAGACAAGTCAACAGTGCTTCCGTTCTCTGCCTTCGAGAGCAGAAGCACTTTCATAGCGTCTTTTTATCCCCGGAGGTACCACCTAACTCGCGACATACATAAACTGACGATCAGATTGGATAGGTCACATACTGAAAACGCCACTTCGTCATTATCTGTTAGTGATCGAATAATATTTACAATATCAATAAAAATTTCACTAAGAATCTTATGTGCCTTAGTTTTATGACAAATATAAAATAATCCCAAAGTTGAAAGGCATAAAAAGAATGATAATGTTTTCTTTACTTCCTTGGTGAAGATGCTAAAGATATTAAGACTTCCTTTATTCCAAGAACCAAGATTCACAAAGTATGGAGATTTTATGAGGTATCGATAGGATTTAAAATCTCAATAAGTAGCTCTAGTATTATAATAGTGAAGGAAGCCACCCCAAGTCAGCAACAATCCCGATCCACGGCGAGTCACCCAACCCCGCATTAGCGCCTTGATGGACGGGGGACTTTTCCCTGTCAACAATGTGAAGACTTGTACTGTCCACTATAAAAAGGACTGAAGGGCGTAGTAAAAGAATGTCCATGCCATCCCTGCCTTCAAGGATTCCGGACGTACCCAGACCTATCGTAGGTATCGTAGCGAACCTGACTCAAAAGCCATGGTGTTGCGACAAGCATCGCCCCCGCCAGCAGCTCCGCCACTCTGATGACTCTCTCTCTGCTGCGGCCCTCGAATAATAAGTCGCCCTTCTCTCCCCCTCCGACTTAGCCTGAACTTCAAAACCTATATCACGACCCTGGGCACAAATCATACACATCTCGCCCCGCACAATGGACGCACGCAAGTCCAATCGCAACGATGTCGCCAGCGAGAGCACATGCTGGCAAGAAGCCTCCGCCAGGCTGCGCACGGAGCATCCCCAGCTCTACGCCCAATTCGAAGGGATATCCGGCGCAGATCTGTCCGGCCAGATCGTGCAGTCGATCACGGAAAGCCAAACGCACATGTTGAATGGAGATCCACCTTCCCCGTGGAAGCACCGCGATGCACGCGAGAAAGCCAAAGTACGACGGGCCATGGACACGATCCTCCGAGCCGTGACGGTGTTCAGGGATGTGGGCAGCGCGGTCGCGAATCTCGACCCGTCCCATGTCGGGATCGCTTGGGCGGGCGTCAATCTGATCTTGCAGGTATGCTTCATTCCCATCTTTCGAAGCTTCGCTAGAGGTAGCGTGGGTCGCTCGAGATAGCTAACCCAAAAAGTGCCACAGCTCGTGTTGAGTGGCGCCGAGCAGAACGCTGCCGCCCTGCAGGGGCTCGCGCACATCTCTCCCATGATCACGAGATATGCAAAAGTGGAGGAGATGTACATGGAGCAACGTCAAAGGCACGAAGCGATAGATCTCAGCAAAGACTTCAGGGCGCAGGTCGTCAAACTCTACGTCGGTATATTGGTATATCAGGGGACAATCATCGCGCACAGCAAGCGGCACCGCATTGGTGAGTTTGTTTCCCCCCGACCGGTTTCTTACTATGTACTGATTCTCCTATTGTGTAGTCCAGTATGCGAGGGCAGTTCCAAAAGTTGATGACTGGAGCACATTATTGCAAGATATCATGGACGCGGAGGCAGAGTGTAGGAAGTTTACTCGCATTTTCGATTCGGAAGGTATATCGACCATGTCCCCAATCTTGGAGTGGAGACTAGGCTTATAAAATGTGAATATCCAGAACACAGAGTCCGGCACTGGGAGCTCAAGGACATCTTGGACCAACAGGACCAGCAAATGGAAACATTGTCTCGTCAGATCGGCGATATACACGTGCAAAGTGACGCACTATTCGGCCATGCTGATTGGCATGGTACGTATTAGATGTAAGACCCATTAGCAGACAACTAAAATCAGAGCAGAGAATACGGAAATTCTTGAATGGGTCTCAACTACCTTGCCCGGCGACGATCATACCCGGATTCTGGAGCATGGAAAGCTGGACAGCGACTACGCCAATTCAGGAGAATGGCTCTTTTCCCGACCGGAGTTTCAGTCGTGGAGTAGAGCCGACGACGACAGCCAGCCAGTACTCTGGCTGCCTGGACCAGGTAAGCGACTGTTGCCCTGTGGATGAGATTCCATCGCTAAAGCTAGTTTGTTTGGTGTTCAGTTGGCACAGGCAAGAGTTCCTTGATGTAAGCTGGCCTCTTGTGTATACCAAGTCGGTATCTAATAGGAGAGTTCCAAAGGTGCCTTGTTATTGAACAATGTCGGAAACGATTCCTACCCGTTGGCAAAGAAGCTCATCGACTCGCATTCTATTACTTTTCGAGAAAGCAGGGGACAGAGGAAGCAAACAGTCCGAAGACTCTGCTCCGAAGCCTTCTGCGTCAATTAGCTTGGTCACCAATCAATCTCTCGATTGCACCCGTCGTCAAAGAGAAATACCGACAATGGCAGCAAAGTCAGGGCTACGGGGGCCGTGGGCTGCTGACAGATGACTGTATCAAGCTGATAACTCAGCTCATCTCGTCCCAGGATCATACAAAGATCATCATCGATGCTTTGGATGAATGCTCCGACTATGATGAGCTCCTGTCTAATCTAGAAGAGATAATGTCTGCAAGCCAGGGTAAAGTCAAGTTTCTACTTTCGAGTCGGATGAATGTTCCCGTGCAGCAGACCTTTGTAGAGTGTGCCCGGGTGGATGTCGGTCGCGACAGTAAAGAAGACATCGATTACTTCATCAAAACCAAGATCCAGCAGAACCAACGACGTCTGCGTCAATGCAAAGCGGTGCATCTTGAGGACCGAATGATCAGAACACTGAGTGGCCGCGCTCAAGGAATGTGAGTGCCAGGAACGCAGTCCCCGATGTCTCGATTTTCGGTTGACAGAGAATACAGGTTTCGATGGGTCGAACTGCAACTGGATATATTCTTCAGTTCCAAGTCTATTATCCGGCGCCGGGACGTCTTTGAAAGAAAGCTTGACCGGCTTGAGATGGAATCTGGAATGCCAGAGTTGGAGGAAGTGTACGACGAAATTTATGAAATGAACGCGCCGGGACTCGAGGACCGCATGGTTGCGGAGCGAGCACTGAAATGGATCATGTGTTGCCGCAGACCGTTGAGCATCGAGGTCCTCGTGAAAGCGGCGTCTCTCGACTCGGAGGGGGACGTGGACGAGGCAGTGGATGCCGACTACATGTTGGCCATCTGCAGTAACTTCATCATCATCGATCATAACCAGACGGTCCAGTTCGCGCATCTCTCGGTTCGGGAATATCTGATGAGCAGCGCAAGGCATGCCTATACTACCGCTGATGCGAATGCCCAGGTAGCAATGACCTCCCTCCAATATCTGCTTAGTGAAGGCTCTCAGAGTGATGCAGATGCAGGTAAAAGAGACGCATTGCTCGAGTACACAGCGTTGTACTGGCCAGTCCATTGTGCGCACGCATTGGTGGAGGCTGAGAGAGAAGACCCACTTCAGCAGCTCATTTTCAAGTTCCTAGCGCCTGAAGAGCCAAGCAGCGGCTTCGCCCTGTGCTCAAGAATTTGGGCAGCTGCTCTAGATGATTTCGATGCTCGGGAGGAGTTTTACCATCCAATTAAAGCCAGCCTCAGTCCAACGAACTCCCCAGTGTTCGCAGCATGTGCCTGGGGCTTCGCTATGGTGGTCAAGGCGGCGTTGAGTGGTGGCTTTGATCTGAACGAGCGTAATTGCGAAGGCGATACGGTCCTGGCGGTGGCAGCCAGCGTCAGCAATCCTGAAATAGTGAAGTTGCTCTTGCACGGCGGGGCAGACGCTAATGCAGTTGGAAGTATATGGGGCTATACGCCTTTACACTACGGGTCTCGCCCCTGGTATAACAGATCATCCGATGGATCGTCGCTCGAGGTTGTAAAACTTCTGATCCACCACGGGGCCGATGCTTCCAAGGCCATACAAGGGCCCGAGCAAAACCGGTGCACGCCTTTACATCTAGCGGACCACGACGATATAATTCGTATCTTGCTGGCCCAAGGAGCTAAGGCCAATGCACAAGACGCGGAGGGCTCGACTGCTCTGCACTGGGTGGCTAGATTTGGAAGTACCGCAACCGCACGGTTGCTTCTCGAACATGGAGCAGCGCCCGGTCTAGAAAACCACAATGGCCTAACCGCTTTACATGTAGCAGCAACGCATGGGAACGAGAAGATGGTAACATTCCTTACCACGTACCTAGGTCCAGAGTCTGATGCAGAGAAGTGGACGCGGCAAGCACGATTTCACAATGCGGTTGACAAGGGGGATGAGGCTCTTGTTCGGCGGCTGGTGGAGGAAGAAGAAGGCATCGACTTGCGGATGAAAAATTCCTGGGGGGAATCCCCACTCCACTGCGCGATCAACGGCGGGCATCTGCGGGTGGCGTCGCTCCTTCTCCAGAAGGGAGCCGATATCGATGCCAAAGATAAATTCGGCGACACTGCGCTATTGATTGCGTGCGCACAGAGAGGTGAGCAAAGGGTGGAATTCTTGTTGGACCACGGCGCAGACATCGATCTTAAGAATGACACACTGTCCAATGAACCCACGGCACTCTCGATTGCCACGGCCCTGGGGGAGCCGCAGCTGGTGGAGATGCTGCTACGTCGAGGAGCGGACCCACAAAGCGTGGACATGAACTCGCTGCAGCGAGAGCGATATGTTTCGCCTGAGCAGTTTGAGAAGGCGTTGGACGTGTTGCGTTCGTACTTGCCTGGTTAAAGAGGTTTTCCCCCAGAGATATCCTACGTCAGATTACACCATTCTGAGCTTCATACAACAGGGAGGTCTGTTTTTCAGGCTGTGGTGGTGGTGGTTTTCTGTTTTCTTTTTCCCAGTTGATTTAATTCACTGTGGTCGTTTTGATATACACCCTTCTTTACTCATTGTACAGATAGATTTAGATATATATTATGTTGACAATTGTACAGTTTGATTAGGACTATGGCTCAGAGACAGCAGGCAGCATGATGATAGTGCCTCCTTCAAAGCACATATACTTCTACTCACTGGCATCGGAGAAACACCGCCATTGAAAGCTACTAACCTCCGGCTGGTATGCTTAAAACCCTCCCGAGTCATATACTGGACATCGGTCCCCCCACCAATCAGCTCTCGTCTCAGACCGGTCGACTGTCTCCCTGGTTCAGAGTAAAACCCTCCATCAATGGGTATTATCCCTTAGAACACGGATCACGGACCACGGACCATTCCGGGAAAGCAGACTCACGTCCACGGCACAGCGACCAGGAGCAGTGGTGTGATACAGGACCTATTCGGCGATGCGGGGAAACGCTCGCACCGTATGATCGATCCTCTTCATCATCATCATCTCACACAACCTTTCCTTCTACAATCAACTTACCACTCTTCCACATCACCTTTCCAAATACTCATCTCTAACTACACATCCTTACCCAAACTCTACACCTCATTTCACTCATGTCCCCCGAACAAGCAGTCGTAGTAATCGGCTCCGGCCTGGCAGGCCTCTGCGCCACTACCCAGCTGATCGCGCACCGCATCCCCGTCATCATGCTCGAGCGCGCCGCCAAACCCGGCGGAAACAGCATCAAGGCCTCGTCCGGGATCAACGGCGCGCCGACGCGGTTCCAGCCCGCGCTCCAACACGACACTACGGACCTCTTCCTCGCCGACACGCTCAGCTCTGCCGGCGGCCGGCTCACCAGCTCCGTCGCCGAGGAGCGCGCGCGGCGCGAGAAGCTCATCAACACGCTGGTCACGTCCTCGGCGGAGGCGGTCCACTGGCTCGCCGACGAGCAGGGCGTCGATCTGAGCACGGTCACGCAACTCGGCGGCCACAGTCGCGCGCGCACACACCGCGGCGGCGCCGGCCAGAAGCCGCCCGGGTTTGCGATCGTGAGTGCGCTGCTGGAGTCGCTGGATCGGGAGCCGTTGTTTCAGCTGCGGACGAATGCGAAAGTCACGAGGGTGATTCAAGTGCAAGAAGGCCAACACGACGAGAAAGAAGGTATGCTGGGGGTGGAGGTCGATGCGGGGCAGGAGGGGGGGGATAATCGGACCGAGACGCTGTATGGGCCGTTGGTGTTCGCGACGGGCGGCTTCGCCGGGGATACGCATGGATTGTTGGAGAAGTACCGGCCGGATCTGGCGGGGATCCCGTCGACGAATGACGCGCGCGAAGGCACGCAGCCGCTGCTGGAGGCGGTGGGGGCGGCGGTCGTCGATATGGATCAGGTCCAGGTGCATCCGACGGGGTTCGTGGATGCGAAGGATCCCGCGGCCCTCGTGAAGTTTCTCGCGGCCGAGGCGCTGAGAGGTGAAGGGGGGATCTTGCTGGATGGTCGGGGAGGGCGGTTTGTCGATGAGTTGACAACGCGCGAGAAGGTCACCGCTGCTGTCATGGCGAGCGCGAGTCCGTTGGAGGATACCAGTCTGCGGCAGTGGGATGTCACGCTATTGATGGACGAAGGGGCGGCGGCGGCTGCGAAAACGCATCTCGATTTCTACCTGTGGAAGGGGCTGATGCGGAAGACCACGGTCGGCGAGCTCGCGCTCCCTCTCGTTCGCAACACGCTTCAGGGCTATGCCGATGTGGTCTCTGGCAAAAAGCCGGACGTGTTCGGGCGGACCTCGTTCGGGAACTGGACCTTGAAAGATGTGGGTTCCGATTCGGTGGTCTATGTGGGACAGGTCACGCCCGTGGTTCATTTCACCATGGGAGGCGTCGTGATCAACGAGTACAGTCAAGTGCTGGACAAGGACGGCGCTCCTATCCAAGGCCTCTGGGCTGCAGGCGAGATCACGGGCGGACTTCACGGTCAGAATCGTCTAGGAGGTTCTTCCCTCCTGGAATGTGTCGTCTTCGGGAGGATAGCCGGTGAGAATGCTGCTGCCTTCCATCGGGAACACTAGTATGAGTACCGTAGACAGATAGGGTTCTCATCTCATGATTCATGGCGTGGGGTGTTGTTTTGCCATGACGGCAGCGCTCGGACGTGTCTGATTCTGTGCAAGTATTGTCAATATTGTGTAAGTGTGGAGATAATCCTCATGAGCTATCAAGTTTCTGAAATGCCACAAGCTTTGATCATTTTGTCTTACGACCAGGAGGTGACAAGCTGGCACAAGGTTGATGCAAAGATTGGGTCATCCATAAATTGGTCTGTCTCTGTTTGTCGCAGGAAGTGACGGAGCGAACAAAGTTGCCTCAGATCAAGGCACAGGGCATGTAATTAGACTCCTGCCAATATGCTGCTTAAGTACAGTACATGGAGTAGAAAGTGCTATGTATATCCAATGGTAGGTTTGGGAAATGCAAGATGATGCAGCTGCATGTGGTCAGCCCTAGCAGATCAGCCACTCCCTTAAATTTTAGAATCAAATAAAGTTCTATGCTCAGGAGGGTCCAGGGGCTGTTAGGATTCGAAAAAACTTCTGCCCATGTTCTCTGAAGTCATAACTCTTTGGACTTCTTGTTCGCGGTAATGCATCATGGATCCCATTGTAGCGTCAGGGGTGGCCCTCGCATGCAACGATCGGAAATGAGGGTAAAGCCACATTCCTGGTCGTCAGGAGATTGGTTGAGAGTGTGACATGAGGGTGATGTTAACGGTGATGGTGACAGTGGGAAGTAAATCCCTTACAGCCTGGAGCAGTGCTGGACCCTCGCTCTTGTCCTTCTCAAAAGAGATGACGTCACTCTTCTCCCTCGGTCGAGCTCCGGGGCTGATCCCAAAGAGGAAAAGCAACAGCCGCTGGCGACTCAGTGCAGTGACTGCACCGCCACAAACAAAAACAACTGGAATTGACATTGACCGACCGCATTGGAAGCTTCTTTCTTCTCGAGTGGAGCGGAGTATTTTGATCGCTAGTGAATAAGACCCGATTTTTGTTTGGACCATGCTTCGACCACCAGATGGGGAACCTCCCACCAGTGCTCCACGACCAGTGCTCGAGCAGTTTTCTTATCCAGGATGACCTTGGTTCTGCGATGCAGTCTAGTCCCTAACATACCCCTCCTGCACCTCAGGATCTCAAGGTTCAGGCAACCTTGAGAGAAGTAAACAAAGGTGGCTGGTCCCAGCCCTCCCACGTTCACTACCTAGCCTATCTTTCGCGGCAGCCGAAGCTAATGGTCTGGGCGAATGCTGATAGATCCCGTGTTTGGTCCATGGTTAGCGACCGACTGGACAGAGATAAAGTTCGAGACTTCGAGCTGGTGGTGGAAAATTCAGCAGCCATTTCCCCACAGCTGCTGGGAAGCGATTCAAGCCGTGCGGTGCCCGGTTCCCCTCATTGCCCAGTGCAGTGTCTGTAGTGTGGGTGGACTATGACATCCACATCCATAAGTGGCTAGTGAGCCGACGGTCAGCCACATCAGCGGTGGGCTGATTGACAAAGGGCCCAATAAGGATCGGCAGCGACGATCCCCTGCATCCATCCTGTCGGTCTTAACCAGCCAGCAGCGACCACCAGCAAAACCCTACTAGAGTATCCCTAGTCAAATCTTGGGTACCCAGCATGCAGTGGCATCGACTCTGACGTAGTTTGTAGGACAGCCCATCTCTCATCGTGCCGTCATTCCTACACAAATCTCTCCGATCAGAGAACCACCCGCTCAAAGCATTCAACAATCGAACCGTCGGCCATTTCCAAAGCCAGTCAATGCCGCCGGAAAAAAAATGAACCCAAATGATAACATACACAGTAGAAAATTCGGTGAGCCGACCGTCCAGATAGACTGAGGCAGACCAATGAAGCTCGAGATGTCGATGATGGGTGGAGTTCGGAGTCTGGGTCTGGGTTGATCGCAACCCCCCAGCCACAGCAAGCAGTCCCTTTTCCCGGAACCCCATCTGGGCGCATCTGCAGCGCTGTTGATTTTGGCACTCGTGATAGCCAGTGGTTGCAGTGCACTAATGCATCCTCCTTCACAATCAACCTATGAGGGCATTGTAGGGCTAGCCAGGAGCTTCAAAGTGAGCCACGGCAGTCAATCTAACAGGCTGTTGCTGCGTAGAGGTCAAGCACGATAGGGCTAGCTCGAGTGGAGATCATGACTCCATGACTTCACCCGGCACTGTGAAGCTGTCCTGAGCCACGTTGGCTGGACAGCTGCCTGAATAACAATCATCCATCGGCCAGTGACGATCGTGCTAGTTGGTCTTAGACTGATGCTAGGTAGAAAAAAGAAAAATCCAAAAACAATAAAAAATAAAACAAACTGGAAAGGAAACTAAGTGGACAAACAAGAGTGGAAATTAGGGATCAACGCAGCGGGTAAAAGAAAAATAAGAAAGAAAAAAAAAAAAAAAAAAACAAACAGTCTCGATACGGCCATCAACAGAAAGAAGGAAAAGGAAAGCACTTCAGGCGATGAATGATTTGCGCGCTCTTTCCCACCTCCTCATAACTTAAATCGGCTCATCTTCCCCCTCGTTGCCTCTCACTTCTTTTCCTTCTCTCTTCCACATCAACCATCGTTCCGTTCCACAACACTCGTCTTCGTGCTCCGCGTCGATCACTTCGTTGATACCCTCTCTTGTTTGCCTCCCATCGCTGCTCTAACCGTCCTCAATAACTGCGCGTGCCAGCTCTCTATCATCAAAATGAAGACTTTCTCGCTTTCCATGGTGCTGTTGGCTGCTGCCAACCTTGCCAATGCTGCTATCTCCGTCAGCGACTGCGCAGTATGTTTACCTGACAGCAACAAGTGCTGGTCGATGGCGACTGACTTATTCGCGTTCTAGCAAATGTGCGTCAACAACATGAACAACAAGGCTTCCGAGTTGGGTTGCTCTAGCGGCGATCTCAGCTGCTTGTGTAACAACGTCGACTACAGCTATGGTATCCGCGACTGCACTGCTCAGGCCTGCCCTGGTGACAACGCCGCCGCTGTGCTGTCCACGGCTCTGGCTTCCTGCCCTAGCTCGACTAGTATGTGACCACATCAGCAACACTGGGGTGTGATTCTTGACTCGAAAGATGCTAACCTGCACTCTGCAGGCGGCTCTAGCTCTGGTTCGTCGGCCACCGGAACTGCCTCTGGCACTGCCTCTGGAACCACCACTGGCGTTGCAGGCGTCTCGACCAATTCTGCTTCGACCTCCAGTGGCAGTGGTACCACCAGCGGTACCTCCAGCGGCACGGGTGCGGCTACCACCACCACCGTGACTACTGGAACCAACTCTGGTACCACCAGTGGCGCATCCACTACTTCTGCTGGAACCGTGGGTATCCTCTCGTCTTCTCCCTCGAGCTAATATGCTGACCATACCAAGACCAAGACCACCATCACTAGTGCCATCACCAGCACGACGCTGAGCACTGCTACTCTCAGCAGCACTGGCTCTTCGGCTTCTGGCACCGGTTCTTCCTCCACCGGCAGCTCCGGTAGCGGCTCTTCTGGTAGCTCCTCCACCGGCACCGGCACTGCCCCCGCAAGCTCTTCGACCTCCACCGGTGCTGCCTCTCAGTTGAACGTCGCTGGTAGCGGTGCTCTCGGTGCTTTCGGGCTTGCTGCCATGCTTCTCATCTAAATGAATGATTACGATAGGTTGGTCGCTTGAACTTGGCTGCGGTCGCGTCCAACATCGAAGCACAACTTGACTCGGGTGAATCTCACTATTACGGTTTATGACTTGTGATGTTTCTAATGCGGCTTGTATATTCTAATATGACGGGTCATGCGATAATGACTAGTAGATAATGTGCCAGTCTCCTGCTCTGGCCACGGGGGTTAGAGCAGGGCGGATGGATTAATGGTATGCAGGACTTGTCATTAGCTTCTTGAATCAATACATTCTTTGAATTCTGCTTCCCTCGCAATCTTGTGATCTTCCTCTGGAGAAATTTCTCAGGGACTATGCCATTAATGCGATTTGCATTGTGCAGTTGTAGATGGGAGGGTCTTATGAATCCAGATGTCTGTGCGTTGAGATTTGAGCGTACACGAAAGAAATATCAAGTAGAATGAGTAAGTCGACTTCGAGAAGCGACCTTAATGGTTCCAAGGAATGTCACCTCGATGACTTGCAGATCCGGTATGCAACCGTCAATAGACCGGCCCCACACGAGCATCAAGCTGAACAAAGCTATTGTTATCAGGACCCCGCCTTCCCAGCAGGGCATTCTCCTCCCAACAACAGTGGATAATCGGATGACTGATTGCATGCATATTTGACATCTGATTTTTGCATGGCCTACGACTTGGAGAAGATTGTATGTGGAACAGCTTTGATCGTAAAAAGTCACTTCAGCAGCTTCGTCAGAAGCGAACTGATTGACGGTTTATACCCCGAGTCATGCCGCAGCGAAGCTCACCTTCGATGGATTCTCGAAGGACTGCGGTGGGCATGGGTTGCGACGCGTTCATTTGCCGGTTGTTGCAACCGTCAAGGCGGGGATAACGTCATTCAGGGACTCTGAGGACGATCGCCGCCCGTTCTAGCCCCCCATCAGCATCATTATTCATCATATCTTCTACTCGACAGTTGTTTTCCAGATCCACATACCTCATACCCTAACCACTGCCCATCGATGCATATTGCCTCCCCCCAAATTGAGAATCTGACTAAGTGAAATAGCTGTGCTCACTGTTTGTGTGTCTGTGTAGGTCTAAGCTCCCCCATACTTCGCCCACCTCACTTTACCCTCATTGTGGCGAACCCTTTTCATTTCTCCGATGGCGCTCCATGCCATTCATGACGCCGGTATGAGGTCAATTGCGTATGTCCACCATCAGCGAAGACGAACGGAGCTCCAAGCTACCAGCACGATGGATGCTATTAAAATGAGCCCAAAGTTGAACCTTGGAGTGAGAAAATCCAAGCCTTGTAGCAAGGAAAACAAGCCAGCACTTGACGTCAGTCATCAATTTCATCGCACTCTCTCCACTTCAGACTCTTCCATACTCTAGTCTTACTTTCCTTCCCTGTTCACATACGGAAATCATGGCAGCGCTATCCACCTCATCCAAGTATGTCTTTGAAACCTTGAAATCCAATCTGGTGGTCACAGGGCTGTGTGTGACCGCTATTGTTGGCCTTGTCTGGTACCTTGGATGAGACGACCCTATTTTCTTTTCGGGACCACCACTCCATAAGCCTGGTCTCAGGAGTCTAGGGTCTATGGCGCTAACGGGGTATGTGTTGCGGTATATAGGACCGTCAACGACTTCCGCGAATGGAAAGCATTTGGAACGGGCGGGACTCCGCCGACCTGGGCGTGAGTATCATCGCCCTCCTACCCATCAACACTCCATCCCACCCTCTCTCTACCTAATCTACAAAGAACTAACAAATAAATGCAGAGGATACATGCGTATGTCAAAACTCCGGGCTCGACGCGCCCTCACCAAGAACAACAACCTCCGCGACCCCGCCCCGCTCCAAAAGACGGGGCCCTCCTACCTGCCCACGGGCACGCTCCCGCTCCGCTCGGGCCCGCGACCACGCATGATGCCGCGGACCCTCCCGCAGCGCCAGTACCCGGAGCCCATCGACCCGTCCGTGCAGGCGCGGCTGCGCGCCCTCGTCCGCGACCTGGCCACCGCCCACCCGGAGCTCTTCGACCTGATGCCCTCGCACACCGAGGGCCGCACCACCGACGGCCTGTACGCGCGCCGCAACCTGCCCACCTTGAACCCGCTGGCGGGCGACCGCATCCTCAGCTACGAGATCGCGCACATGCACCCGGCCGAGAACAGTCTGCATGTCTGGCTGAGTGACGTCGATGCCCGCGAGGTCATCGAGAAGGGCTGGGGCCAGCGGTTCCCCCTGCCGGCCGTGCCGCAGGGTTGGGTGATGGTGTATGCGCCCCGGGATGAAGGGGAGATGGATATCGTGGAGGGGGTGGTGAGGGCCGCGGCGCGGTGGGTTACCGGTGTTATGGTCTAAGATAACAGCCCCTGGTTTGGGCCTTGTGGTTTTGATGATGGTGATGAACATGATGGTTATGATTATGATGACTTGGTAGCGAGGTTGGGTTTCTTTTAGCGAGCGGCTGGGATGATGTGTACGATACTGTATATTAGCTTTTTCTTCTTTGTGACTATAATGTCTGTCATGAGCAATGCACGATTTTTGGCATTTCTTGAGCGTTGCACAGATGAGAGAGTCCATACTCAGGGACGCTAGCTGAACCGAGGGGTAGGTGGACGATTAGCGCGTGGCCTTCTTTAGTACGGGACTGAAACAACCATTTGGTCTAGGAGTACATTTGAGACTGTACATGTTTAGCATTTGGGGATGTCACATCTATCCGCTCTCCCTTCCCCTTCATCGGCGCTACAGCCCGCGCCTAGTCCAGCCTGACAACTCGAAATCCGCCAGGATGTGCTAGCATACCTCTCTTATTGATCCCTGTGCTTAGAAGTATCCCTGCATCACATTGAGCAGTCGGTATATGACACGTACAACAAGAAATTAACCTATATAATCCATCAATCCCTTCTTATCTCCAACTTCTCCTCCCGCCATAACCTCGAATCCACAAACACCTCTCCAAGAAAATGCAACTCGCATGCGCTTCGACGATATAGCCTGGGAAGCAAGCGAAACCATCTCCGACAGCTGGGTGGCCGGCCTATTCCAAACCGACACCCTCCGGGCCATCGGCGATTTCATGATCAAGCATCGACGAGGCGTCCCAATTGAACTGTGTCAACCCCGAGCAGGGACATTTAATATGTCGTTTCGGATGAAGTTCAAAGACGGTGGCTCGGCGCTAATCCGCTTCCCCAAGCCTAGAACCACTATGTTCCCGGAGGAAAAAGTGAAGAATGAAGTGGCCACAATGCGGTACATTCAAGAAAATACCTCGATCCCTGTGCCATTCATCCTGCATTGGGGAACGAGGGAGGAGAGCCCTCTTGGTCTTGGCCCATTTATCCTAATGGAGTATATCGACCACGCCATGGAGCTGGGCGAGGCGTTGAACACCCCAACGCTCGGAGTCGATGACCGCCCAATCCTCGATCCAGCGGTTGATCTTGATAAGCTGGAGATGCTGTACGGACAGCTGGCAGACATCTTTCCTCAGTTATCGCAGTTATCACTACCTCGGATCGGCTCTCTTATGCAAGTAGACGACTTCACATGGAAGCCCAAGCACCGACCTCTCTCAATCGGCATGAATGAGCTCGTTCGCTTAGGGACTCTTCTCGGTCAAAAAACTGCCAACCACCACCTTCGAGACAGCATCCGACTATTTCCAGGCCCTCGCTAACCTGCACTGCGAGCATCTATATCACCAGCGCAACGATGCAGTATACTCAGCAGATGACTGTCGGCGTAGGTTCGTCGCCCGACGGCTATTTTGCAGGGTCGCTGGTGAAAGGCGGTTGGCTATCTCGAGAAACGATCATGGGCCTTTCAAGCTCTGGTGTGACGATCTTCGGCCCTCGAACATCCTGTTCAACGAGCACCTGCAGATCGTCGGTGTAATTGACTGGGAGTTCACATATGCCGCGCCGGTTCAGTTTTCTCAGGCACCGCCTTGGTGGTTGCTGCTCGAACAGCCGGAGTACTGGTCTGATGGGATAGAGGCGTGGGAAAAGTCATATGGGTACCGTCTACAAACATTCCTTAAAGTTCTCGAAGAACACGAAGAGACAGAGACGCAACGGGGCAGGTTGAACCCGGACCAGAAACTTTCGGGTCCCATGCGACAGAGCTGGGAGAACGGTGATTTTTGGGTGGCGTATGCTGCGAGGAAGAGCTTTGCTTTTGATGTGGTTTTCTGGGAGAAGCTCGATCCCAGGTTCTTTGGTTCCAGCGCGGTTGCTGTCGAAGATCGCTGGAAGGAGAGACTGGGGTTGTTGACTGAGCAAGAGAGACTGTGTATGGAACGGGTTGTGAGTCGGAAGGTTGAGCAGATGAAGACAAGGGAGCTGATTTGGGAGCCGGAGGAGATGTCTTAATCTGCTTGAACTAAAGCTTGCCGGTTTGCTATTACGGTGGATGTTTTGATAATATATTGGTTGTTCGGCTAGGATTCGAGGCATATATAGGTGTCTGCTTCAATATGGGTCTGAATACCGGTACATCACAAAAATACAATCAATCATCGTATTGTGATATGAAGATCAAAGTTTCTATGGGAAAATCTATCCTCAGAAGACAATCCTATTGACCATCCATATTATCGGCTGCTAAGAATACATCTAAAACTCTCCATCGTATCGGCCCACTTCGGCCACACTAATATTAGACCAGCCAATCTGGGCAACCCGCTGATAGGCTGCTCAGCCGCGATACTGCCTGTGACTGGATGTCTGCCTGATCCTTCAGGTTGTGGTAGCCTCCAGGCACCCCCAGGCACCCCCTCGAAATGAACTAATCTCACCCACCTTTCCCTTTCCTTCCCCCGGCTTATAATTCTTTGTCTTTCCTCACTTCATCATCCATCCCATCATCCAACTGTTCGTCTTTCGCTATCAAAACTGTCAAAATAAATCATCATACCACCTCTCCTTCATCCAACGTTTGACTCCTACTGACCATCGCCCACCATGGCTATCTCTTCCCTCCTTCGTCGAGGAGTGGAGGCTGCTGTGGACTACCAGTCCAGGCAGCCCTCCCAGAGCCAGCCAACCATCCATTTGGCGGGGTGGTTGTCCGCTTTCTTCATCTTCACCGTCCTCGCTTTCATTGCCATTCTTCTTTCGGTAAGCATTTTTCCAAGGTGATTCATTTGCCGCGTCATCCTAATGCCTATTCTAGGTCGAGTACACTTACGGACAGCTGGTTCCTACCCTCGCTATCGTGGAAGATACGAACCCTGATATCTACGTCCGCATCGATACCGACTTCGACCCGAACAAGCCCGTCGATGCGACCGAGCCTGAAATCGAGACCCGCCCGCAGCCCATCACCAACAAGTTGTGCACGACTATCCGCCATCTTCGCGCCCGGGCCGGTCCCTGGTCCCGTTTCCGCGGGCTGAGCATGTACTTGGCATACTGCTTTGCTCAGTCGGCTGTATACTCCCTGGTGCCCTTTTCTGCTTCAGCATTCCTTCCTCATTACATTATGTACGTTCTCAGCGGCGTGCTTGTGGCCAACCTCCAGCTCGCGTGGGTTCACATTGTCATCTCGGAGCCCTCTCCGAAGCGCTTTTACCAGCGCATCGGGGGCTTCAAGACTTGGAAGCGGATCGCTCCCGTTGCGGCATTCGAGCATGCTGTCACCGGCGCCGGCCTGTACGCTCCCCTTTTCCTTATCGAGGCCTTCGGCGGCTTTGACGGACTCAAGGACTTGAACTCCTTCACCCCTACCGATCCTTCTTTCACCAAGGCTATCTGGACCATTTATGGTCTCCTCCTTGTGCCCACTGTGGTGTCATTTGTGGTTTCCATTCCTGCGCGAGCTATCTTCCTTCGCGTGGCTGCCTCCATGCTTCCTGAAGAGGATGAGGCTATTGTGCCTTTCGACCGCTCTTACGGCGGCAAGGTGCAGCCTGCCATCTTGGGTGGCAGTGGTAAGCTCAGCATCTCCGACGCTTGGAAGACCCTCGATCGCGCTGCATTGACCCGCTTCGTGAAGTCGATGTGCAAGGCGGTCGCTATTGAGGCCGGCGTGACTATGTTCTTCTCGCTGCTACTTACCGGCCAGATCCTCGCCGGGGCTGTGACTTATGGGTTCCCTGGAAACAACGTTTAAGCAGATTGACGTTTTGTTCTGCCCTCCGCCGTTACGATAACCCTCCTTCTGTCATGTGGAGTACGTGTCTCCGTTTTATATATGTCAATAGATTCTGTCTCAACATCGACTGAGCCCTCCACTCCCTTGTATCTATCACCATGTTCTAAATAGTGGAATGAATTTCACACGCATCGCTGGTCTAACTTGGTTAGAGCTTCGAATTGTAGCTCGGTAGTGGGGTTAAATCGCTGACGTCGACACCAATATACCCTTACAAGTGCGTAGTCACGCCTGTGCTGTGAGTACCTTGGGCTAGGAGAAGCTGCCTCATCCATCACTACGTAGACAGGCACCTCCCTTGCGCCACCAAGGGCGATCGAGCCAGTGAAGGGGAGGCTATCGGGGGATGAGACGTTATCGTACGGCGGCCCCGCCACCCCACTCTCCCTTTCGAGCACACCGCCTTGGATCCATCGATATTTCTCCTCTGACCAGTCAGTCCGTTTGTCGATCCTCTTCCCCCAGGGTATACAGAGTCACTTTGGTCTCATTCTTTCTTCTCGTTGGGGAGATTCTCGCCTCGCCTCTTTTCACTGTACGAGCGTACTCTTCTTAGAGCCACTTAAGGCCCGCGTGTTTCTCTCGCCGCTAACACACACCACCTCTCATCCCTCTCACGATCCCGTTCCACTTCGTTCCACCCCCTCGCAACAATCCCCTCCTTCGCTTCCCTTTCCCCGCCGCCGCCGCCGCCCCCTCTTTCCCCTCCACGTCAACGCCATGGCTACCACCGCCGCCGGTCGCATGCTGTCACGGCAGCTGCAGCAGATGCATGCGGACAAGGACATCCCAGGCATCAGCTGTGGATTGGTCGACAACAACGTCTTCGAGTGGGAGGTGATGCTCATGATCTCCGATGATGTCAAGCTCTACGGCGGTGAGTCTTTCTTCTCTAGCCATTTGACCCTGAGTCAGTGGCATGGCTAACACCGAGGAAAATTGCAGGTGGTTTCTTCCGCGCCCGACTCTCGTTCCCCCCGGATTACCCTCACATGCCGCCGAAGATGAAGTTCGAGACTCCTCTCTTCCACCCGAACAGTATGTTCCCGCCGCCCTGTCTCCAGAGCGACATCGTGGGCTCGAACCCCGGCTAGCAGCTCTCACTTCTGCTTCGACGTGATACTAACACAAGGATGAAAATGGCACAGTCTACCCCAACGGCGATGTCTGCATCTCCATCCTCCACCCCCCGGAGGAGGACAAATACGGCTACGAATCCGCCGCCGAGCGCTGGTCCCCCGTGCAGACCCCCGAGACGATCCTGCTCTCCGTCATCTCCATGCTGTCCAGCCCCAACGACGAGAGCCCCGCCAACGTCGAGGCGGCGCGGTTATGGCGCGAGAACCCCCAGGAATTCAAGAAGCGGGTGCGCAAGTGCGTTCGCGATAGCTTGGGCGAGGAGTAATCCTCTTTCAGTTTAGGTTTGCAGTTTGCCCGGTGGGTGGTGGTAGAGAGGATTCTTTTCGCATTCGTGGCATTGCGCGGGTAGCGTTGTGGCGCAAGTTAAATGGGTACATATTTTTTTGTCGCGTTTTCGTGTTTTCGTGACATTGTGATTAATGCTTTACACGGCTTTCTGCTTGTTGCGGTTTGTACTTTGGTGGTTGATGGGGAATCCGTTTCCCTGTTTTGTGATTTATGGTTTTGATTCATGGGATGCCTTTTCTCGTGTTTGATAGCGGAATAGATTCTTGGGGTGGGTTTATTCTCGCTGTATGATATGGAGTAGGTGGAGTAGGTGTGTAGTTGGGTGGAGGTTGGGTTTATGGTGTTGCCATGGGTGTGGGTGTGTTTCTCTTGAGGGATTCTGGTTGTTTCAATGACCGGACAGGGGTATCAGATATATTCATTGTGATGTGGCTCGGCTATATGACAATCAGGTCGCAGGGTGTTAAGTACCCTACCAACTCAAGAGACCGTAGAGCTCTTCATCCATAATCAATAAATTCATTATAATACAGCCAAGGAACCAAATTAAGCCTTGAATAATGGAAGATTGCAGTTGGGAAACTCAGTCACACAGCTCCGTATCTTAGTAGCATTATTATAGTATTATAGTGCTTACTTAGCTTGCCTCTAACATCAACCAGCATCATTGGTCTAGTGGTAGAATTCATCGTTGCCATCGATGAGGCCCGTGTTCGATTCACGGATGATGCACATCTTCTTTTTTGCCTCTCTGGATCGCTCCATCCTCAATCAGAGGTTGATAGTGATAGTGTTATCGATATCGAGTCCGATCCCCGCACCGAATCCCAATGTTTTGTTTCTACCGTTCTTATCAACTGTCACCCGCTGGCAGCATTGCCGGGATCCGATCCGACATAGCGGGGGAGCCATTCATATATCAGAGCTGTCATTCCTCCCCAGCCGAATCGTCTCCGTGATGATCAAATGTACAGTTCAAACACAGTCCCAAGTCAACCAATCAACCAACCAACCATGACGACAACCTCGTCCTCCCTCCCCTTCGCTCCCCCCATCGACGTGTCCCCAAACATCACCCTCCAACCCCCGCTCTCCCGCTGCGGTGAAGGACCAGGCCTCCTCCTCATCCGTCCCGCCAACTTGGTGGGCTGCCAGACAAACAACACCACCCTCGACCCAGCCCCGTTACAGAAATGGGCGGAGGAGAGCTACACCGTGGTGGAAATCACCCTTGACACGGTGAGCAGCGGCGACGCGGTGGGTGTCTCGGATGCTATTTCCGCTGCTGTACGGGCGTTATCCGAATACCCGCAGTGCAGGGGTAGTGGCAGTGGTCGTGGTGATAAGTTTGGGATTCTGGGTGAGTTCTCCCTCAACATCACCCTGTCTTCTAGCACAGCAATACCAGTCGGGTCGAGGTGAGGCAAGAACTAAAGATTAAAAAGTCTACGGCTCCCCACCCGACTACGCCCCCTCCTTCCCCGCGCTCCTACAACAGTCCATCACAGCCCTTACTCCCGAGCAAACCCCCGCGGCAGCAATCTACTTCAGCGCATGGGAGGAGAATCTGGCCACAAACATCCCAGCTCTATTCCACCTCCCGGCCGGGCAAACCCTCGCGAAGAGCATCATCACCACCGACACGACCACCACGAAGATCTACCACTACCCCTCGACCCCCTCACCAGGCTTCATCATCCCAGGCCACGCAGACTTCAACCCCAGCGCCGCCGGCGTCGCGCACACGCGCTCCCTGACCTTCCTGAAACCCCAACTAGGCGGGCCGTACTTCGACCTCGAGCAGATCTGGGAGGAGCACACGCACCACGAGTTCGGGGACCGGTCGGTCGAGAAGACCATGGCCACCATGGTGCAGGAGCCGTATGTGAATCATATTCCGACGGTATGCACCCCTCCCTCCTTTTCTAACAGGGTGTTGATGGGCAAGAACTGACTGCCTGGTTTGCGGGAACACAACCACTACCACCACCACCACCAACTAACTCCTTGATGATGATGAATATGTACAGATAACAGGCGGAACCGGCCGCTCCGCCCTGACGCGCTTCTACGCGCAGCACTTCATCTTCACCAACCCGGCGGACACCGTCCTGGAACTGATCAGCCGCACCGTCGGCGTGGACCGCGTCGTCGACGAGTTCATCCTGTGCATGACGCACGACCGCGTCGTCGACTGGCTAGTCCCGGGTGTCCCGCCCACCGGAAAGCTCCTCCGGGTCCCGTTCACCGCCGTCGTGAATATCCGGGGCGATCGGTTGTTTCATGAGCATATCGCATGGGACCAGGCGACTGTGTTGAGGCAGTTGGGGCTGTTGCCGGAGTACTTGCCTTTCCCTTATGCGGTAGCTGGGGATGGGGGGGCGGGTTCTGGGAGGAGGTGGGAGTATCGGGTTCCGGCGGCGGGGGTGGAGACTGCGTTGAAGTTGCGGGGGGACGGTGGGGTGGTGTCGAATGCGATGATGGGGTTTGAGGTTAGGGAGGTGCGGGATTCTTAGTCTGAGGGGGGGCTGAGTATGGAGGGTGGAGGAATGGGTGGTAGCTTGTGCAGGTGGAGGTGAAGGTCGAGGTGTGGTTGTTTTGTGTAGGATACGGTATGGTGAGAATGATTGCTTGTGTTTGTTAGACTATCGTTGGTGCGTATAGATAGGAGGTCCAGCTTATCTACCAGTGTATATAGGGTCCTGCGAGTGGGAGGCCTACGGTATATGAAACAACAGCATGTGACTGACTGCGCTATACTCCCCTCATAGCCAATCCTATAGAAAAAATAACGCACCCTATTCAACCAAATGTAGACCCTAACAACGAACAAAAGGAATCCCACATCCCACCAGCTACAGCATCAGGATCCCTTCTCCTTCCTCGTCCCCCGGTAACCCGTGAACCGGGAAACTACGAAGTAAGGTAGGGAAAAGACGGACATCAGTTGCGCAGTTGCGGCCCGTCACCATCGATCACATTCCAGTTCCTCGGGGCGCCGCCATCCCTTGCTTGGGTTTCACTTCTGGTACCCGGGGGCCTGTATACTTCGCTTCCGAATCCGGAAAACAATTCAAACCCGTTCCCGGATACATCGATTTCCCAGTATTAATTGCATATTGATTGAATATTTCGGCCGTTGCCTGCCGAGTTCGATTCATATAAGAGATTTCTATATAATTTATATGTAGAAACGCCCTCCACCGCGAGAGAATCACGATTCGCAATCAACTTTACGGAACATACAAGCAACCCAAGAAATGAAACAACTTGCCCCTCCAGCTCTCACAGACAAGGAAAATGCACGTTACTACCCCCCTCATTCTTCAATCTATCCTTCTCCTAGGGATAGCAGGAGCAGCACCAACAACAGAACCGAACCTCCCCATCGTAGATCTGGGGTACGAGCTCCATCAGGCTTTCTCCTTGGATGTATGTCATACCTCAATTCCCAGACTCAGAAAGACCCGACCATAACCCCAAACCAGGAACAAACGCAAACTTACAACTTCAGCAACATTCGCTACGCTGCGCCACCGACCGGATCACTTCGCTTCCGACCATCGATTTCCCCGGCTCAAGGAAATCGGTCGGTGGTGCAGACCGGAGCACAGGGACGGGTGTGTCCGCAAGCTGCCTTGAAGTGGGAGGAGGAGGTTATGCCCGGGTTTGTGGCCGAGGTGCTGTCTTCTGCATCGGCAGAAGGGTTAGGAGCGTCGACGAGTCCCGCGAGGGATTATTCTCCTTTCGCCGGGTCGATAGGGGGCGACGGGAGAGTGACTGAAGACTGCCTGTTTTTGGACGTTGTTGTTCCTAAGGGAATCTTTGAGCAGAAAACTCTTCAGCAAAAGCATCAGAAAGAAGGCAACGGTTTGGCCCCTGTCCTGGTTTGGATTGATGGCGGTGGTTATATATCTGGCGACAAGTCAGAGCACAACCCCTTGGGGTTGATGCAACGCAGTATGCTCGACGAGGATGGGATCGTCTATGTTGCGATCAATTATCGGGTAAGTCCCGTTTCTTGATTCGAGAGGCTGGATGACAATGCTGACTTCTACAGCTAGGTGCTTTTGGCTGGTTATCAGATGGCAATGGAACCACTGCTAATGCTGGTCTCTACGACCAACGTCTCGCACTGGAGTGGGTGAAGCGATATATCAACCTGTTTGGCGGAGATCCGGACCGCATCACCGTCATGGGTCAGTCGGCTGGCGCAGGGTCTATCGTTCATCAACTGGCCGCTTATGGAGGCAACAGAGAAGCAAAAGACCTTCCCTTTCACCAGGCCATCATCCAGAGTCCCATGTGGTATCCCTTGACGGTGAACCAGCAAACGTCCGCGCGAGACGCATTCCTCGAATTGCTGAATGTCTCATCCATCCAAGAGGCACGGTCTCTTCCATCAGATCGGTTGATTGCGGCCAATGCTTATCAGATCGCGAATACGCCCGTCTACGGAACCTTCACTTATGGACCGGTCGTAGATGGATCACTCATCATAGACTTGCCGAGTAAAATCTTGCTCGACCCCGGCTTCGAATGGCAGGGTCTTCGCATCATGACAGGCCATACCTCCAACGAAGGCCTTACCTTCACTCCGCCGGCAGGAGTGAACAGCTCGGCCTATACGACCATCTTAAGCGACTTTCTCCCGAATCTGGTCCCCGAAGTGGCGGAGGACATCGCCCGGACGCTCTATCCACCAACCTTCAACACCCCAGCAGCCAGTCTGGGCTATAGCGATGCGATTGGAAGATTGGCTCTGACAATCAGCGACGCTTTTATCAGGTGCAAGAACCTGTACCTGAGCACTGCCTTGGATACCGTATACGGGTACAGTTTCGCAGTGGCTCCAGGACTGCACTCAGAAGATCTATACTTCACCTTTTATGACCCTACAAACCCTGACCCGAGCGTCGTCGATGTCGACGTTGCGTTAGTCATGCAGGATTATATCGTTCTCTTTGTGCAAGAGGGCCAGCCCTCTTCTTCCATTGCCGATGCGACAGTTTGGAATTCTTATTGGTCACAAGGCCAAGTCTTGAACATCCAAGCGAGCAATATATCAAGCGCCCCAGATCCAGTGGACATGGATCGATGCCAGGTGTGGTGGAATATCACCGGCTGATCGCACGCAAGGGGGATATTGGAATCGAACTATCCGAGGGCGGCACCGCTCGTATCGAACACCGCCAACACTTGGCGTCCGGTGCGCCTTGGGAAAGGGGCCATGTTTGAAAGAAAACCTGGCAATCCTTAGACTTTGGGGGCGGTTTTGAAGAAGAACGATGGATTATGGTGAAACAGGGATCCCTTTGTTTGAGGCTCACAGGTTGGAACTATAGTTCAATACTGTATAGATGACCTGCGAACATGGTTCCCTAGGAAGACGCCATTGTGAACCCTTGCATGGACTGAAATGGACATTCAGCCGCATGACTAGTTTTCTAGTACTATACCTAGGTCGCATGAGGTAGTGTCCATGGCAGCCGAATGATTTCGGGCACGGAGTCCATCACTAATGAGAAGGAATGCAATTGGCGAGGGAGCCCCTATATGACCCACGTGGGATCGTGCGCCATGCTTGAATGGATGATCGGGGAGAGAATGGAGCTAGCGGGCATCATTGCCACCAGCCGCCGGTGCTAAAAAATCTCTGTCAGTGTCATTATGGTTCCAACATGGCCGAAAGGCTCACCACCCGCGAAGTGGAGCTTCTGGTGGCTATATTTTCCCAAGTCACAGGGCGAGTTTCTGCCGACGGGCCGGATCCGGGATCTCAGTCAGGGGTAAGTCTTGCGGTAGTGGGATGCGCGCATCAGAACTGCGTTCAAGTTTGCTTGCGGTTGCAGCCATAAGCACGTGAGATATTTCATCAATGATGCAAGCGCATGTTCCGAAGTCGCTGATTGATCAGATCGTCTAAGGTAATTCGGCCTCTGGATAAACAAAGTACAGTATAAGCTCCAAATTTGCGTCTGTTTCTGCCTGGGATTGCCGTTTGAGTGGAAGTTTGGATGGAAACAGTCGGCGGAATGACTCAGCACTAAAAATAACCAATGAAGTGAGCTAGACTGTTTCAAGGGTTGACCGTCAATCAGCTTGAGGGTTAAAGAAAGATTCTCAAGAAAGATTGGAGTCTGGTCGAGAAAAACTCTCAAATTCGGGTCCAATGGTCCATACCTTAAGCACATTAGCTCAGGCACATTTTTTTCCTCCCCCAGCTGACAGTGGGGATGGCGCTCGATGAGCTGGCCGGCACGGAAGGAAGTTGTGAACATCAGGTCCAATCGTCCAAGCCACCGGCCACTTCGGGATCGCCTATGGCTCTATGAGGGTATGAAAGATGATTTTCCCATAACCTTAAAATCACGATAATACGATGATTGCCTATGCCCTGCGTCATGCAGGAATCGTCAAATGAGACAGCTCGAATTGCCAAAGAGGCAGCCGAAGAAAATATCCCGGAGCCATGATGTGCCAATCGCAGGGTCCGATTGCACCTTCGAAGCGCACGCTGATGGGCTGGGTGATTGCTCACTGCATTTTCCCCGAAGAGTAGAATTCCGGAGGCTTCGTCCACGGTTACCGAACGGAGGCGGCCGACCGAAGTGACAGACGGAGGCTTATTGGTAAGGTGTCTGAGGGGTGGGGATGGACGGTCTGCCCATATCGCAAGACAAGTAGCAAGGTTAGGGAACGCCGATTTGTCCAAATTTAGGCAGCCGTTTGTCTGAGACTTCTGAAGAGTGAGTCTTGGGTGTTCTGAGTCGGAGGATAGAGAGGTCCGAGGGGAGAAAATGAATCCACAGCTAAAATGATCCCCCGGCGATAACCTCATCGCTAAGCTTCCAATGACCCATGAATGGAGGGAGAGAATAGTGAGAGCCTGAATGGCCCGTGGGGGCGACCAGGTGCAGCTGGAATGATCATTGGCAGAGCGGGCAGCGCTGGCAGAGCTTAGCAGAAGAAGGAATAAAATAGCACAGCTCGCCGGTGTCCGCGGACAATGGAAAAGTGGGGAGAGACAGGTACTAAAACACGGCTAAGCCCAAAGAGAAAAAGGGTCTATACTTAATAATAGCATATTAAATTATAAATTAGTTATTGTGAGGGCCTGAGAGGAGAGAGGGGGCGAATGGCTGTGCAGGCTGGTTGTCTCTGTCTGTCTCTGACTTTGCCGGACTTGTTCAAGTGCGTGCTGTAGTCATACCGTCAGTCAAAAGAGTACTGTACAGTAGATACTCCATTCTCGGGTGCCAAATACCCTCCGAGAACCGCCCATGGGGTTTGTTTCAAATCCAAGGGATTGCCATCGAGCTGGATTGCGGTGACACAAGCAGCAGGCACCGGTTGTACAAGTAATCTGCGCAGGTGGAAGAAATGAAAGTGACCCTGGCCCCCAAGATAAAGGAAGAGAAGGTAAAGTAGTGAAACCAACGAGTTGAGGCAGTGTTTATTTGTTGGGGCGGGGTGAATGGATGGAGGAAGAGATGGATGGATGGTGATGGAATGGCGGAGTTGGAAGCCGCAAGTCTACTTGCAGAGTACAGTAACTTAGTACACTACGGAGAGCCTTCAACTTCTTCCGCACCCAGAACAGTAAGTAAAAGAAACAATAATTTGATTATGACAGTCAATACCACCACAACTGACCTCAGCAACTTAACTTCCATTAACTTAACTCTACTTTTGAGTCCTCGGACATCTGACTCCACTTGCTCACCTGGCCTTGCATTTGACCCAGAATAATTCCCGTTTCGCCCCCTCTCGTCTACACGCTGCTTCTGTCTTGCTTTCCCCGCTGGGCCAAATCTTAGCGTTTGCTTGGTCGCTTCTGCTCGCTTTTATATGCCTCTTTCCGGCTCACAGCACCCTGCATGATTTTCCCAGCCTTGGCTCTGTCATTTCTTCCGGTCTTGCATCCTATAAACATTCTCTCGTTCCCTCTACTTTCCTTCTTGGACTCGGTCAAACATTCGTTCCCTTGTATCACTACCACACTCACCACCACAACTCACCACAATCACCACCGCCATACCACCCCACCACCTACCACTAGATGACTTACCAACTAACTCCATCCAACATCACCTTCTCTTTCTAAATCATCGACCTATCTACAACAACCATGTTGCTTCGCTACCTGTCCATGACAGGTGCTCTCTGCCTTAGCAGCTGTGCTGCCGCTGCCGCTGTCCCTTACTCCTACATCAGTTCTCCCCGCTCGGCCAGCGCCCATCAGATCAACTTGCCTGCCGTTCCATGTGCTTTCTCCGACTCCAGCTGCAACGAAGCTCTCGACCCCCTTGCACACCTTGTATGTTGACCCATCCCGAGAAAACAACTCAAACCTCAAACTGACAGTGCCCAGACTATTGATTTCTCCACGCAACATGGCGTCTTGCTGGCCAACAAACAACCCATCTTCCCCGCATCCGTGCCGATGCAGTTCTCCGTGGACCGCAAATGGGACGGCAGCAAGCAATCCGTCTCCGTCGCCTACGCTCTGGATGTCCGACCGCTCCCATCTCACCCTGGTGCTCCCGTGGGCGATATTTACCACCTGAAGCTCCGCCTCTTCGACCTGCACGGCCGCCCCGTCACCGACCACGCTGTGGCAATCGGCCTCGTCCGTGACACCGCCAAAAATCTCCAGATCACGGTCATCGACCCCAACTCCAGCCGCGAGCACGGCCACGGCAACAAGATCTGGCGCATGAAGGAATGGAAGTCCAAGGTCGAGTCCTACGTCAACAACGCCAAAGAAGCGGTAACTGACTGCCTGAAGACGACCCCCTTCTCCCACGGCCAGCACGAGCACGAGCACGACCAGATCCACGACTCCCCGGTCCCTGCCGCGGCTGAGTCCTCGCACGCGAAGTCTGCCTCGACCAAGTACCCTCCCGTCTTCCGCACGAGCCACAACGGACAATTCTTCTGGAGCGGCCGGGAGCGGGGCGTCATGCGACAGATCCGCGCTATCATCTTCCCTGCTCTGCTGGGCGTCGTGGCCGGAGGCGTCGCCTGTGTCATCGGATTCCTTCTTGGTCGGATGATCATCTCCGTCTATTTCTGGGCACAGGACAGCCATCGGCCCCAGATTCCCGTCATCACTGTTGAAGACGAGGAGCTCCCCTCGGAGAAGGAGGCGCTGATGGAGAGGTACAGCGATTCCGACCCTGAAGCCAATCTTCCCCGTGATTAATCCACATTCCCTTCCTTCCTCACATTTCACTCCCTTCTATTTCTTACTGTCTGTCCTGTTTATGAAGATATCCAATGTAGCATGTTTATTGTTAACTAGCATACGCACATGAATGAAAGCGAACATTTTCCACAACGCTGAATATAACCCTCATAAACAACTCATGATATCAACAAGGCCGGCTGGCCCAATGGTAAGGCGCTTGACTACGAATCAAGAGATTGCAGGTTCGAGCCCTGCGTCGGTCAATATTTTTGTCCTTTTGCAGTTTGCCACTGTGCCCCAGAGTATCCTGTCCGATGGGGTGGTTGAGCACGGAGAATTTTCGTGTGAACCACTTTTCCGGCATCGTCGGATCCACCCGCTGAACCCTACGCTCTCAGCCAATAACATAGATCCGGCATTACACTATGTAATCTGGTCCAAGACACTCTCCCACTCGCCCCCGACGATCCTTATCTCGATGACCGCTCTGGTTCAGAAATCTTGGATGATGTATCTCGGAGAAGTTTAGATCCAAGACAAATGATATCGCATGTCTTGCATTTTCCGGTTTTTCTCCTATATGGATGCGGAGGGCAAGAGTGCGGTGGGGACTTTTGGGCAGGGGAAAAACAGGGCGGTAGAAGTGGTTGATTTCCGTACGGAGCAAGTATGAGTATGAGTATTTGCGGAAAAGGGCCGAGGGGGATTGAGATGTAGTTCTGCGTTCGTTGCTGGATACTGTAGAGGTGGAATTGGTGGGTTTGAGGTCAATGTTACCCTGGATTTGGAAGGTGGTTGTTTGTTCTAAGTTCCAGTTGGATGAGGATTCTGATAGTTTGGTATGATGTTACGCGGGCAAGTTGAGCTACAGAGGGAAAATGGTTGATCTAACGCTGGTAGAGACAAGTCCGGAATGTAGTACCGGGGAGTGTGGCCGCTTTCTATGATTAGTCAATCACAGATTATATTGATAATTCATCGAATTATGACCGACTGAAGTAGACTAACGACTGTAATGCCAGACTACTACAGGCACATTAGCCGAATTCCTCATGCACATACTTAGTAACCAACCAACCAGTATCAAGCCAAAGGAACGGTAGGCACACACCAAGCATCCCAACGCCAAGCTATCAACCATAGCTTATCTTCTTGAGCTGTCCCACCGCCCTACATACAATTTACTTGGCGTATATGCACCTCTTCGTCATCGACAACGTCGCATTCAAAACCAAAAGTCTAGATACATGCTCTCGTGGATTCTTCCTCTATCAACTTTCGATCCTCAAACAGACAGGCAAGCCCATCTAAACACACTCCGACTTGATGCTGACCAGGGTCACATCGGCCTCGAAGCACTGCTTCTCGGTGTCGACGCTGACGGTCTCAAACAGGGTGGACTCGTCGCAGCCCGAGGCCGTGTAGGTGTGCAGCACGGCCGAGGTGCCGTCGGCGCAGCTGCCGGACTCGACGTACGCGGTGAACGACTTGATGGGGAAGTTCTCGACGTTCAGGCACGAGCCCGCGTAGGCGTTGCCCGCGTCGATGCTGGGGGTGGTGCAGTTCTCGTAGAAGTAGCCCGCGTAGCCCACGGTGGGGTTGGCGGTGACGGCCACGGCGAGGGTGGTGGCGACGAGGGCGAGGGTCTGGGGACCGAGGGTCAGTAGGGCTGAGATTGAGGGAAGAGAGAAGGCTTGGGATGTAGGGGTGGGGACGATCGGGAAGGGTGGTTGCGGACCTTGGTCATCATCTTGAAGTTGCTGAGGGGTTTGGATGGGGGATGGATGGTTTGAGCTGGAGTTGTTGATCTGTGATCTCTGGATGTCTTTCGAGGTATTCTCGAGGGTCAACGACCGCCTTTATATAGCTTTTCCTCTCGCCAGGATGCCGCTGCACGCGTCTCGTTTCCGTGGACAAGGCATTGGGTGTTCCCTCTCGTTCTCAGCTGAGGTCGATGGAGTATCGTTCGTTATCTTCATGGCACTATTGAAGGAGACTTACGTATGCTCCGGGGCTCCGAATATCTCCATTCTGCAGGTGAGAAGTTGAGAATCGGTTCGCTTCGGCGCGATCTACAGCCTGACTAGCCGGATGAAGATAAGTGGTGGGATGTAGTCCCTCATCTATCTAGTCAGCTCAGCTTACGGTGGGTTGTCAAGGTCGAAGTATAGCTCGTTCACGTTCGTGATGTTTCCGCGATACTTCGCATTTGTGGCATGAGAAGAGGCTCGAAGCAACCTCGAAAGGGTAAGTATTCACCGTCTCTAGTCTGCAAGAAAGTGTCTTGCAAGGTAGATTAGATGCTTGTCGCGTTGTGCATTGAGGCTCGTTGCTTGCCAGGTAGAAATGTTGATGATTCTCCTGCAGGCTGCAACTGGTAGAACGGACCCACTTAGTCTTCTGTTCAATGCTTGCATTGGCAACCAGTCGATGGGGCCACCGCTCCTCCTTTCATCGTGACGAAGGATCGCATTCACAAGTTAATCAAAACAATCATTATCTAATTCTTAGGAATCAGCAGGCAGATTGCACGATGAGCAGATTTCAGTGACACCAGTTTCCCAAAACAGCATCCTACTGCAGGTGGCTCGCGGAGTAGTGCGCCCGCCAAGCAGACGCGGAGGATCTTGGCGCGGGCAGGCCAGGCCACAGGGTGACAGGGTACTCGGCTCAGAGAACCATGATCGACCTGAGATCCTCTGGCTCTAGGTATACCTTAATCCTAGGTAAGACCTATTTATGGATTGAAGAAAAGAAGAGCAAGGATCTGAAAAGTGTATTTTGAGATGGGGTTGGGGATTCGGGCATTGACGGATGTGACAGTGACAGTGACAGAGTTGATACTAAAGGCAAAACTGGCAGAGAGGCTAGACCCTTCCCGTCCCTGTCGGCAAAAGTCACGAGAATGAGACTTTATTCAGCTTTAACTTCCTCACCCACAGTCCACTTCTTCCTCGTATTCCGGCCTGCACAATCCCCACTCTTAGCTTGTCCCCCCGTTGCTCGGCTAAACTTACCTGCCCAGTCGCCCCTCCTTTGCTTCCCTTGTGTTGCTACGTTCCGCTTACAGATGCATTGGTATATCTGTCTTAGTAGGTACTTCTCTATCTTAGCTGTACTGAGCATGGTTGCTGTTCTGCAGTGAGATACGGAACGCTGGCTCTCTTCTCGGAGTTTTTCTTTCCTCATTCTCGGACTTCAAACCATAGACCACCTTGATCATTAACATTTCCTACCTGGAAGACAAAACATTCGATGGCTTGTCGTCCTCGTACAACCCGTTTCTTTGTCTTGGTTCCATTGCGCGCATCCATGTCTTGATGTCACGGATCACAAGATGACGGCTCGATGACTAACATGTCTTTCTGGCTGGCTAGTTATATCCAGACAACCGTTGTCTCTACTCCCTGCCACCTGTTGCATCACATCCACTGAACTCGGTTGACACAATGTGAGATATCGATCAAAATGGCCCAGTATCTCAACAGGCAGACCATCGCCATTTCCGCAGATACCCCATACTATGACCTCGGATCCTTCCATCGAGCAGTCACCACTGCTAGCAGGGATGCTCAGGTCTGGTTCGACCGTGGCCTGACCTGGTGCTATGCTTTCAACCACGAGCAGGCCGCCGAATGCTTCAACCAAGCGATCGCGCACGATCCAACATGTGCCATGGCATACTGGGGACTAGCGTTTGCGCTCGGGCCAAACTATAATATGTCATGGGAGGCTTTCCCTCCCCAGGCATTGGAGATGGTAGTGGGCCGCACACACTCTGCGCTCACCCAGGCCTTAGAGAATAGTGAAGCTGCAACGCTCGTCGAGCAAGGTCTCATTCGAGCCCTTCAAGCTCGCTTTCCTCAGAAGCATGCGCCGAAGGACCCACAGGAGCTCCAGTCATGGAGCAGAGCATATGCGGAGGCAATGCGGGTCGTCTATGAGAGGTTTCCAGGTGATCTTGATGTCACAGCACTATATGCTGACAGCCTCATTAACTTAACCCCGTGGCGGCTCTGGGATTTGCACACCGGACATCCGACCGCAGGATCATGTACACTGGAGGCTAAAGATGTTCTCCACCGCGCGTTGGATGAAGACGGCGGCTATGCACATCCAGGTTTATTGCATGTGTACATCCATCTCATGGAAATGTCCAGCCAGCCAGAGGCGGTGTTGCAAATCGCTGATCATCTCCGTGGGTTGGTTCCCGACTCGGGTCATCTTCATCATATGCCGACTCACATAGATATCCTCTGCGGGGACTATCAGCGAGCTATCCTCTCCAACTCTGATGCAGTGCGGGCTGATGAGAAACACCTTGCCCTGTCTCAGCCCCAGGGTATCTATACGATGTACAGATCCCACAATTACCATTTCCTGATCTACGCCGCTATGCTCGCGGGGCAGTTTAAGGTCGCACTAGACACTGCCATCAAGCTGGAAAAATCACTTTCCGAGGAAATACTACGCACGCCGCATCCCCCGATGGCCATGTTTTTGGAGTCATTTGTGCCGATGCGCGTGCATGTCTTGATTCGTTTTGGGCGCTGGGAAGACATCATCGCGATCAAACTTCCACAAGACCAGGAGTTATACTGCGTGACTACCGCCGTGATACACTACGGGAAAGCTGTCGCCTTGGCTGCACTGGGAGAAATCGACGAGGCAAGCAAGGAGCAGGAACTGTTCCAGAAAGCCTTCCAACGAGTTCCACCAACGCGCACCCTGCACAACAACACTTGTCTTGACATTCTAGCTATCGCACAGGCCATGCTCGACGGGGAGCTTGAGTACCGCCGTGGCAATACCTCCAAGGCATTCCAGCATCTAAGCCATGCCACAAGTCTATATGACAAGCTTCCATATGACGAGCCATGGGGGTGGATGCAGCCCATCCGCCATGTTCATGGCGCTTTGTTGTTGGAGCAAGGACTTGTGGAAGAGGCGACGGGCGTCTATGCTGCGGACCTGGGGGTGGATGATTCTTTACCGCGAGCCAAACAGCATCCGAATAACGTGTGGTCGTTGCATGGGTACCATGAGTGTCTTGTCAGACTGGGTCGTGATTCTGAGGCGCGCATTCTTGGGTTGCAGCTTAGGATGGCAATGGCTCGGGCAGATGTTCCGATCAAATCATCTTGTTTCTGTCGGCTCAGTACCGGAAGAACTAAAAGCGAGCCCATTGGAGGAACTAATTGACTTATGGCGTTCTGGACTGTGAAGCTGCGTGGTATTGCGTTGTTACCAGTCTCTTGACGGAGATGAACCATTATAGCATGCAACTAAAACCTTCTCCGCTGGTGATCGGGATTATATCACAGATTGAGGTGATGATTCGATATCGGTGCAGCTATATGTATCTTCGTGGTCCTTATTTGGTTTGGGCTATGTTTTGCAGGTAGTCGTACGAGTCAGGTCAAGACCTCAGAAAACATACAAAAACAGGCATGTAATAGCATCTAAGTCGTCGTCCAGAGAAAATCGAACCCAATGGTAACTTATCAGAACAGTGTCCAGAAACACCGATGTGAACAATTGTCACCTGACCCGTAGTATCCCAGCTCCTTCTTTATGTACTAGGTAGTCACTTCAACCGAGACAGCGGCATTAAGACACTTCATTCTGTCTCTGATCCAGACCATCGCAATTACAACCAAAAAGAGCCATATCGCCCTGTCATTGCAAAGGCTCGAAGACCTTATTAACAACATCACTGTGGCTCGGACAACAATCCAGAATTCTGGAAAGGATGATCTCCTTGTACTCTTTAGCTTTTATCAGCATCTCGTTGTTTCCTTCGTCGGGGGCGCATTGTCACTTTGCTCTTTTGTTATCCCTCATTATCTTTGTCTCACAATGGGTCGGAAGAAAATGATACCTTTGTAACTGCATGGCTTTCGTTGAGAGGTATTTAACCACAGTTCAGCCCATAGGTCTCCAAGTACGCGGATCGAGTATACCAACCCCATCTTTACACATCTACAGATGTCAGACTCGAAATCACTAACTGGACTCGCAAACATGGGCATCGCCAAGCTCCCAGTTGAGCTTATCAAGGACATCGCAGACCTGGTCGAATACGAAAGCGAGATCAATGCACTCGCCCGCACGAACAAGCATCTGCACGAGGTTTTGAACCCACGGCTCTATAAGCACAATGTGCACCATGGGGACAGCACGGCGCTAGCGTGGGGAATCACGCACCACTCCATGAAAACCGTCATGCTGATTCTCGAAGCAGGCGCGTCCCCCCACGAATGCGATCCGCGCATGGACTGGCGACCAATGGCACTGGCGGTCTATGAGGGACAGGAGGATATTGTGCGACTCCTGTGCGAGCACGGGGTCGATCTGCGTCAGGTCCGCGACTGGGTGAATCCCCTTCACCATAACTACTCGTCTTCCCCCGCGCAGACCATGAGCCTCCTGGCGATTGCGGCCAAACGCGGCCACGAGCCGCTGGTTCGCATGCTCATGGACTACCTGCCGCGGAAGGGCGATGTCGATTTCCCTGCCGACGGGCTGCGACGGACGCCGCTGATCGGCGCCGCCGAGATGGGCCATCTCTCCGTGGTCCGCTGCCTGGTCGATGCGGGCGCGAACCTCGAGGCCCGCGACACCGATGACCAAACCCCCTTGGTTCATGCGGCGAAAAACGGCCGGCATGAGGTGCTGGAGTTCCTCCTGAGTCGGGGGGCTGATCCTAACGTCAGATCTTTCAATGAAGCCACGCCGCCCATCTCCGAAGCTGCCCACCATGGTCATCTCGAGTGCGTGCGGTGTCTTATCAATGCGGACGGCGTGATGGATAGCCTGCCAACTCTGGAAGAGACGAGTCACCCTCTTGTGTGCGCCACTAGAAGCAGGCACCCGGCTATAGTTGATCTCCTTCTGGCGCAGCCTCAGAGCTACGCGCAGCTCGGCACAAATCTACGTGCGATGCTGTGTGTTGCCGCTGCGCGGGGTGACCTCCCTGCTGTCCAGGGGTTTCTGGAAACCCCTGGTTGCCATCCTAACTCCGTGATCCAGTTCGTACAGGGTTCTCTCAATGGCTCCCTCACAGCTCTATGTTTGGCGGCTGACCGAGGCCACACAGCGGTCGTGGAGATGCTGCTTGAGCGTGGCGCTCTGCCATCTAGGGAGGCGATCCTATGGCAAGAGATGTCTGTTGTTCATGACCCTGAGATGATCATTCGGGGGCCACACGTAAATCAGGTCGTTAGACAAAAGGCACTTCTTCAAGCGATTCATGGGGGCTTCCAGCCCATCGTTGAACTGTTACTTGAGGCTGGAGCCGATCCGAACGACGAAGACGTCTACCATGGAACTGGCAACCCTGCTCTTATGGCGGCCATGCCGTTCGAGGGAATTTTCCAATGCCTGCTGGACGCTGGGGCTAGCCCTGGCCGAATGAATGCGGAAGAGACGACGGTCGCAGCCGCGGTTTTGGGCTCAGGTCGGACTGCACTGGTGCAGACGCTGTTGGACCGTGAGTTTGACTTGCCGTTGCTCATGGGCCGTAATGCCAGCTTCATTCACCAAGCCATCGAAGGCGGTCGAGCGGTCTTTGAGCTTCTTCTGCAACAGCAACGATGGGACGACCTGCTACTCCCGGAGAATCTCAACAGCATGGCCTGTGAGCAAGCTCTCAGCGTGGCGGCTTACACCGGCCGAGTGGAGATGGTCCAGTTCCTGATCGACCAGGGGTTTCACGCTCGTCTCGCCCGACCCCGACAGGTTGACATCTTTTGCATGGCGGCAAGATCCATGGACAGACCTGACGCAGACCCAAGCGCCATCGTCGATCTTCTCCTCCAATACGGCGAAGATATCAATCAAGAGGTGGGTGGACACACGGCCCTGGATCGAATGGCGTTCCTACGTGATCCGCGCTACGTGCGTCTGATGCTCCGTCACGGAGCCGACCCGTTGCCACACAGTGGCACCAGGCGGTCGCCGTTGCTTCATGTTAGTGTGATACAAAGCAAGGAGGTAATCGAGGCGCTTTTGCAGGCGATCGACGCAAATGGCACGCCTTTGGCAGTGGTCCGGCCTTACCTTGAAGCGGCGGTGGAAGGGGCGCGAGGCATGGGGTTCTTGCGAATTGAGAAATCCTTGCGGCAGTGGTATTACAGGAGGCTATATCCAGTGGGTCCTTAGATCATGGTGGTTAGAGTCATGATACATTCAAATAAAGATCAGCTTATAGATATGCAAAAGTTTTTTAACACGTGTGAGAATATGCAGTAGTAAGAGAAGTATAGACCGTAGCTTTTACCGCCTCCTCATCTCAAGGTCAATCATTCTAGCTTTATAGAAGCATAAGTCGCTGTGGATAGTTGGTTGGGAGAGCGAAAAACCACGCCACGTGACACACCCGCCCCTCTCACGTGTATCCACCAAACAATTCCCAGCTCCCGACCAGCTTCGCGGCCGCCAAGCTCACCTGCAAGCTTCAAACACCCACCACCACAAAACGACCACCAAAACAAACCCTCACTCAATTCCACCCAACATACACCTACTCACCCACTCCCACATGATACTTCAAACTCAATGTCTCAATAACCACCACCACAATAACCACAACCACCACAACCCACCGAACACTTCCGCGAAAGACATCAAAATGAACACCCAAATCCACGCCACCCTCACCACCCTTGACTCCGCCCTCCACACCCTCCTCACCACCCTAACCACCTCCCCGACCGCCTCCGGCGCCCCCGCCGCCGCTCTCGCCCTCCTCGCTGCCGACGACGCCCTCACCTCCACCATCGACGAGCTGCGCGAGCACCAGCGCAACTACGCGCGTCTGCTGGGCTTGCGCGCCGAGGCGCAGGCCCTCGAGGAGAAAGTCCGGGGGATCGTGCGCGAGGTCGTGGAGTTCGAAGGGGTGGTACGTGGGGTTTGTGGTGATTCGGATTCAGACTCGGATGAGGATGAGGAGGAGGATGATGATGATACTGATTATGAGGGGGATGGGGATACGGAGATGCAGGGTACGGATTCTGCGTTTACTGAGATGACGGGGTCAGGGTCAGGGGCGAAGCGGAAGCTGCGCGGCGTCAAGGAGGTGGATTATAAGCTTCTTCTGGACTTTGCGCGCCGCATTAGCAAGTATAATCATCAGGCGGCGGCGGATGCGGCTGCTGGTGTTGAGGAGAGGGTTGCGGCGGGTAAGGCCAGGAGGGGGTCGGCGAAGGATGCGGAGATGGGAGGGATCGGGCCTGCGACTGGGGCCGCGAATGGGGATGCTCCTGCCGCCGCCGCCGCCGCTGCTGCTGCTGCTGCTGCTGCTGCTGAGCCGGTGGCCGAGGTCACCAAAGGGGCGACCTCGTGGTTGGATGAGAGTGCGCAGTTGGCGAGGCAGGTGTATATGCTGCCGTATCCAATGGAGGATCGCATCCGCATGGGGCTGATGGGTCAGATTCAGTTGGCGGCGGCGGAGGGCCGGCCGGGCTTTGAGGTCGAGGCGGAGGTGGAGCGGTTGATTCGCGAGGCGGAGGGGCTGGGCGTTGCGGCGCCGGTGGCTGCCGCGCCGGTGCCGGAGGTCGCGGAGCAGGTTAGGCATGCTGATGAGGCGGCCAGGGCGGCGGCGTTGGCGGGCTCGTCAGCTGCTTCGGGGACAGCTGTTGGTGGTGGTGGGAGCGGGAGTGCTCGGCCGGCTGCGGCGCCGGTGCCGCCGAAGCCGAAGGCTACGTTGGATTTGGATCTGTATGATCCTGATGAGGATGACGAGTGAGGTCTTGTGTACGGTACGGAGGGTTTCTTGGTTGATGTATGGGCAGCTGGTCTGTCTTGATGATTTACGCGAAATGTATCTAATATTGGGCGAGGGGTATTTGGTCTCATGCAATTTTATGTGCGGAGCCTTTCGCCATTTACGTCCTGTGTTTCCCCGAGAGTAGACTTTTTGGAAGAGACAGTACCGTGAGTGGTGAGCTCCGGCATGAAAGGCTGTATGACCTCGATCTTCTTGATCCGGTGATATTGACCATACTCGTCGACTGGCGAGCAGCAGCAACTATTGATGGCTCCACAGCGTCTGCAGCTTCCTCGTCTTCGAGTCGGTCTCCCATCCCAGATCCGCCTCGATGCCGCGCAGCAGGTTCACTAGTATCTGGCGTTCCTCCGGCGCTTCGAGGAACTGGCCCACCGCAAACAGCAGGGGTGTCATGTACACACGCGCACAACTCGATGGCCGAGCCAGCGCGATCCCGATGATCTCCCGGCACCGATAGTCCACCTCCTTGGTCAGCTCGCGATACCCCTGCACGCGGTCGAAGGCGGTGCTCGGAGCCGTGACCGCATCGGTCGGGCGGTTCAGAGACAATGCGAGGCGGCCGAAATGACACACTTGCATCGCATAGGCATACGATGGTAAGGAGTAGAAGATCTCAGGAAACGGGACAGGACTTGTCTCGGGCGGATGTGACAGGTTACGCGGCTTCTCAAGGCGCACGCAAGGGCGGATCGATTCTGGCAGTCGTTCGACCCATGTTTGGTACTCGAACGAAAGCCCCAGCCATGTGGAAGTCGTGGGATACGGGGTGGAGCCCTCCGACCCCTCACTAGATGGAGAGCGAACCAGTTGTTGCAGGGACGATTTTTTCGAGTCGGCTAGAAAGTTGACAACTTTGCATGAGAGCCATGCCAGAGAATGAAAGGAGAGGTCTTCTTGAAGAAGAAAAGTGTCACTGGTAGGCCCGATGGTCCCTTCATCATCAAGTGGTATACCGGCAGACCTCCAGAGTTTGAAATTGCTGGGATCCAAGTGTGTCTGCACACGATTGAGAAATGAGCTCAAGTAGTCCTGATGGACAAAGTTCCAGAACGCCGCAATAACGCCATGCGGGAAGCTTTTAGGGTCTGGTGTTATGCCTTCATAAAGGTTAACGATGGATTCGAAGAGCGGTCTGACACCGGAGAGATGTCTGTTTTGTGTATATCGTTAGTCCCCATTAAGATGGTTGATTTCCACAGGAAACAAACTCACGAATGCCATTTCTCGGCCGGCTCATCCATTGATTTGTACAGATTGAGAATTGTCGAAACAGCGAGGGAGTTTTCTAGTTTCTTCCCTAGAGTGGATTGAGTTTGTGGGTCGAAGGGGCCGTTTTTAGATTGATTACGCAGCCAGTCATTGATTGTCTCGAAAGGGGATTTCAGCACAGCAGAGCTGGATACTGCTGTGTAGGATTCGGAGAGAGCAGTGTTCAGTCGCTGGCCAGCCAGGTAGCCGTACATGGTGGCTTTGTGCAGCCACTCTGAATCCGACACATCAGGGTACGTTTCCAGTATCGCAGGAGTTGTGAATAACCCAGTATTTTCGGTGATTTTCACTCCTTTCATTCTACCAAGGTGCTTCGCGGCCAGAGCAGTGATGGAGTATTGAAGAGCCACATCGTCTTTGGCTCGTAGCGGAACATGAGTCGCAAAGAATTTGCGAGGGTCAGAAAGATCTAACCTACATACGAATGAGCATAATAGCAGCACGCGAGAAGGGGACACAAACCATGGCGCCAAGGTCTCGACATAGTATCGTACTAAGAATGATTCTTCATATCCAGAACCACTTATGAGGTCGGAATACATGTCTTGAATGCTTTCATTTTCGTCTGCCTGAGATGGACTGTGCGAAGTATGCTCCGCATGTGACGAAGCTTGACTTCGTCGAGGCGCCATCGCAGCATTAGGGTACGATGAGTTATCGAATGCGTGGTTCGAAGTACTTGAGCTTCGAACATCATTCCATCCAGGACCAATGACGGGATCCGAACCTACCATGCCGATCGGATCAATCTCCCGAGCAGCCCAGTCAGGAGTTCGAATAGCATGACGTGCTTGCATGCTTGCGCCTGGGGAGCTTGCTTGAGACGAGGCCCCTGCTGGGGAGTGTGAAACAAGCTGACTTATGCCAAAGGCTGGACCTGATGCGGGCGCTGTTGCTGCTCCAGATGGGAACTGACTTGGGCTTGGCATTGTCTGCTTGGCGGCGTCATGATTCAAGCTCGAAGGATCGCCCGGAAGCGTCTGGTCACTTGTCAGTATATGACTCTCATATACAATCTGACGAAGCTGAATCATATGAGAAAATAATAAGTACATACGCTCGTTGGGGCGCCGATTGGACTGTGGTGACGATTAGAAGCTTCCTCGCCATGATAAGGGGCGTACCGGCGCCTCACGGCAGCACCCTGATCAATGAACTTGCGCGTTTGAACATATCCGGGACAGTCTACACCAGCATTGATGCATCGTTGACACTTCGGACGCGCTTCATCACACTGAATGTTTCAGCAAGCACCTTGGTCGTGGCAAAATGGCTGGACCAACCTTCAGGTGTCTTTTCTTGCACCGCTCGCATGCTTTATTGGACGGAACTCCAGGCATTGTGTCTGTTGGGTAGGCCACAATTCATGAAGGTCGCGTCTTTTGTGGTAGAGTCGAGATGACCCGCATCTCATCGCAAATCAGCAGACGACATGCTCATGGTTCTAAATGTCGTTGTGGAGATTGTTGATAAGGATAAGGAAGTTGAAGCTCCTAGAAGCTTGGCGACCGGCTAAACCAGCATGGCGATCCTTTGGTCCAAAGGGGTATGTTCTCCCGCTCACGGAACAGCATTGTTCCGCCTATCGTTGTGCAGAATAGACAGGACTCATGCAATTTCAATTCTACCATATTCCTATAGCTGTTTCCATCTGTTAAGGAGATCCAAGAGTTTGTAGTCACAGCTTTTTCTATGATAAATCTCACCATATAAGGTCATATGTGGTATACGTGGTATCAAATACCACGATCGTCAAGCTTATCCCGCACAATGAGCGCAACAGAGATGAGGTACACTACAATATGGTACTAACATGAGTAAATCTCCTGGCTGTACTTTAGGCAGTAGGAGCGCTTCTAAAGTATGTACCTCCCTTAGCACAACTGAACTTTTACGATTCTCACACTTGTGATGTTCACAGTTTAAAGTTATGCGAGTTACTATCTCCATGTTTAGGCGCGTTCATGAATTGCAATGTAACAACAGATTCCCTCCTTCTTCCTGTAGCTAAAACATCTCTTGCATGGGTAATATGGGGCACAAAGTCTCGTGAAGATTCTTGCAATGGGGAAACATCACTTCGAACATGCACATTACCGCAGTCGGGTCATGCTATCGACAGATCCACCACTTTCCTGATCCCATATTGGACACATCCCAGCAATGCTCCGGTTCGTATTGACACGCAACGCAGAAACATGGGTTAGGTCCAGCTCCAGAAGAAGACAAGCAAGGGAGGCCTCGTAGCCACTCTCGTCTACTTCAGCTTTCACGCGAGGTGTAGGAACCAGCTTCAGGAAAATGAGTTCGCGGTCGGAGCCCGTCTCCCACTGCTTGCACCTTTTGAGCCTGAATCTGACTAGCTGTGGCAAATGACTCAGTAACGATCGAACGTCACACCAACTCCCCTGTATCAAGCAAAACCCGATGCATATCGAAATGGCGCAACGATTGCGTTGCCAGTGTGGCGAAAGTGGCAGGCACAGAAACAGGGACTGCCATTTCGGCCAACGCAAGTAACTCCAGTACAAGCGTAGAAGAGTTGGGGGTACATCCTGCTCCATTTCGTTCTCTATCTCGGGTGCAGACTGGGTCGGAGAGATTTCCGGTAAGTTGAGGAGACATGCTAAGAAGTCTGCAGCCAGTGATTGAGTCTTCGTCCCCGCGTCAGGGACCCTAATATATGGAGTCTGAAGGCTAAGACGACGCAGTTCTTGGAGAAGTTGCGCTACCTGTTCCTTTGAAGTAGCAAGTTCGCGCAGGGCGCCCGCGCTATAAGCCTTCCACCCATCGAGAAACACAAGTAGACTCCTCAGTTTCAGCAGTGATGTCTCCTCGAAGCTCTGTACAAGGACTCGTTGAGGATTAATCGATTAATCGCTTCTAGATCACTTGTACTCAAATCTTCAAGATGAACTACCATATTTTTGAGGTTAGGTAGGCAGGATAAGACTGTTGACAGCTGCATTGTGATCCTTCCCAACTCATTCTTTCGGAACCGTGATCTGGGCCTTCTAGATGTACCTGGCGGACATGTACCGAATATGGGCAGTAGCAGATCTCCTCCCATAGCCTCCTCGTCCATGATAGTGTTCGAAAGAAGTGTCCGGAAGCAAAATAGCAGAAAGTTTTGTTGACCAGTCGTAATTGGGCCAGATCATGCATCGAGACTGAATCAGTATGGGATAAATCGACACCAAAACAATCTATGACTTCACAGCTGGCAACAAATGCCACAATCTGCGAGCAATAGTCAGCTTGAGAGCCCATCCCAATTCCAGAGGGGTCTTACGATGGCAATAATCTCAGCTTGGGGGTTCATGTTTGTAGACAGTTTCTTGGTTTCAGGGTGGTTGCATCGAGTGTAGGGTGGGAGTGATTGAGAAGAAACAGGAGAAGAGAAAAGAATATTTGTAAGAGTGTCATAGTGAGCATCGGTTGGAAATCTGTGAATATCTGTCTGCGCCATGAAGTGAATGATTAGAACTTCAAAGTTGTTGTTATAGCGCCCAAAAATGCCTAGCGGCCATGTTTCCTAAATTGGTAGTCACTAAGACTGGCCGGGGAGATTAGCTCACACCTACTATGTACTCAAGTTCTCTCATCATCCAAGGATGGGAAGAACGACAACAGCCTTGAGCTTCATCAAAATCTCTCACTATTATTGTAAGTTGGGCCATCTCCTTCACATTCGATGTAACCTCCGCCTACCATGTGTGCAGGGTTGGACTGTTATAGCGCGATACCAAGTCAGCCGACGCAATGTCCCCGCACATAAACGACGCGGAGTATCACAAGAGCAGATCAAGTGTACGCCATGAGACTACTCAAAGAGCATTGATCAACACTTCCAAGGATATAATCATGGTATGAGCCTTGTACTTCCGAGTCCTCTGCTTGGAATCTATAGCAACTGCGGCTAATTGCAAACATGCTTCATCAGGCGCTGCATATCGCACGAGAATGACATCTGCTTCACATGCGCTCTGCACTTTCGAGAAGACTCCTATCGGCCTCGAAAGATCCAGAAGTATCTCTATTTAATATCGTCTACTACGAAAAGACAGAATTCCAAATAGACTCGTGTTTCAAATAAGCTTGATAGGGGAAAAGCTCGGGTATGGGGTACGAGGTCCAGCATTGGCGGGAACCAATCTTTATACCACGGACCGGAACCACCAAGTATGAAAAGCATCGGGCTCCTTCTCTATTGACCAAACAAGAAGCCAGGTTCTCGGCAAATCAGTGTTCTTCATCCAAGTCGCTTGCCTCTCTGAAGGACCGAGGCCCGACCAAGGAGTCATGAGGACACCAAGGACCTGTCTTGAAGCTAACAAGGGATAAGCGACTCACAAGAGACATCCCTCGATCGAGAACGAGGATGTATTGACGATTTTGAACCTTCGCCCTTCGGCAATCTGAACGCGATCATCCCTTGCAGAAACTGCCAGCGGATTTAAACTTGAGGTCGTGTTACATGCAGTAGCTTGATCAGGGTTACATGACATGCAGTCAGTTTGTGGTGTGACTAGGATAATTGGCAAGTTTGATGCAATATGGCTCAATGAATAGACCACAGTTGATTGTGAGTTCAGATGAGCTTTTATTGATCGCACTGGTGGCTTTCATTGTTTTAAGAAGAGTGGTTGCCCCCCGCATCTGTGACATGGTCCCTTTGTTGCTGTGGAATGTTCATAAACAATATATTTTCAATCCTTCTCCACAATCCTCAATTCACTGGACTCAACCTTGGATGTTCTTGTCTGAAAATGGCTCCAGCTTTTTTTCCAGGGCTCCCTGGATTGCTTGGGTTGACAGCCTTAGCTTCTGCTTCTGTGACCCGACGAATACTCACTGATCCTAGCGTGTCCTTTGATGTACTCGACTACATCGACCCGCTGATTGGAACTTCCAATGGAGGTAATTATTTGACATGGCCATAAAAGGGCATTCGAAAGTTGACAAAACTGTTAGGTCATTCTTTCGCGGGTGCAACTTTGCCCTTTGGTACGTCCCAATCTGATTAGCCCACATCTGACTGTTCTTGACAGCTAACTTCTGTACAGGCATGGCCAAAGCAGTAGCCGATACTCTTGGTGAGAATCAGGCTGGGTTTGCCTATGACACGCAAAATGTCTCTGGGTTCTCTCATATGCACGACTCTGGGACTGGTGGTGTAAGCTCGATCTCCCTAGCCGGTGGCTGAGCTCCTCATTAACCATTGGCAGTCTCCATCCTTGGGCAACTTTCCTATTTTCGTACATCCAAGCTGTCCCAGCGATGACCTAGATCAATGTGCCTGGCACCAATCAGCGCGAGCTACAGTCTGGTCATCGCCTCAGGCTCGGCCAGGATATTTCTCGATCTCATTAGATAATGGCATCTTTGCTGAGATGACCGTCACTAACCATTCTGCGCTATATCGTTTTACGTTTGAAAACGCTTCCAGCGAAACATACAGTCCTGTCGTTCTCGTCGACCTAATGGACCTTCCCCAGTCTCGCACAAACGGAACCGCATCAGTAGACCCATCGACAGGCAGACTAACAGGCAACGGCACCTTCAGTCCTAGCTTCGGTATTGGGACGTATGACCTACACTTTTGCGCGGACATCAAAGGAGCACAAGTCCGAGATACTGGCGTCTGGCAGAACAACCGGGCGGGTCTCAACCAGACATTTTTATCACTGACATTGAATGGCGGCAATTCTGCATCGACCCTAAGTGGAGGTACATTCGTCAGATTCAACGCGCCCACGGCGAATGACACAATTCTTGTCAGGGTAGGTGTTAGCTTCATCAGCGTGGATCAAGCCTGTGCCAATGTAGAGAATGAACAGCCCAATTTTGACTTTTCTGGCACGGCGCGGACAGCGGAGAGTGCATGGAGGGAGAAACTGAGCGCAATCAGTGTTGATGCAGAAGGCACATCGACGGACCTGCAGAAAGTGTTCTGGAGCGGTATTTATCGCGCAATGATCAGCCCACAGGACTACACTGGAGAGAACCCACTCTGGCAGAGTGATGAGCCGTATTATGACAGCTACTATTGGTAAGTAACGCTGTGCCTCCGGTCAAGCTTCATCTAACATATTTGCTTAGTATCTGGGACTCCTACCGCGGTGTGCATCAACTGCTGACACTGGCGGATCCTCTGTCGCAGTCATTGATGATCCGGAGCCTTATTGATATCTATCGTCATGAAGGCTATCTCCCCGACTGCCGCATGTCCCTCTGTAAGGGCTACACCCAGGGAGGTTCCAATGCAGATGTACTCTTGGCTGAGGCTCTTTTGAAGAACGTGAGCGATATAGATTGGGCGACGGCCTATGAAGCCGTGTTGAAAGATGCCGAAGTCGAGCCTTCGAACTGGAATGTTGAGGGACGAGGGGGCCTGACTAGCTGGAAGACACTCAATTATATACCAACAGATGACTTCGATCCGTACGGTGTGGGGCTGCACACACGAAGCATTTCACGGACGGTTGAGTACGCCTACGATGATTATTGCATTGCTGAGATGGCCCGGGTCCTGGGCCATGAGAGCGACAGCGAGAAGTATTCAGAGCGCGCCAAGAACTGGCAGAACATGTTCAAAGACGATCAGAGCTCAGCCATCAGCGGGGTGGACACGGGTTTCACTGGCTTTCTTCAGCCACGCTACCCGAATGGGACATGGGGATACCAGGACCCTATCTTCTGTAGTCCGCTGTTGAGTTTTGACTCGTGCTACCTGAATGCTAATGGCCATGAAACGTATGAGGGCAGCGCTTGGCTTTACTCATTGTGAGTATGTCTGATGCTTTGAGCTCAGATGAGAGCTAACATCTGTCAGTTACGTTCCGCAAGACATGGCTTCCTTGATCAACCGACTCGGTGGGCGTGAGACGTTTGTCTCTCGACTTACGTACCTGCACAGTTCGGGCCTTCTCTACGTCGGTGACGAGCAAGCCTTCCTCACTGTTCATCAATTCCACTACGCTGGACGCCCTGGACTGTCCACAAAGCAGGTACATGCATATATTCCCTCGCAATTCAATACCTCAGTCTCTGGTATCCCGGGCAACGATGACGGAGGAGCCATGGGGGCGTTCGCAGCTCTAAGCATGATGGGACTATTTCCAGTCCACGGGCAGGATGTCTACCTCGTCAACCCACCGTTTTTCAAAGAGGTCAGCATCCTGAACAAAGTCACGGGCAAGACCGCCACAATCCGAAACATCAACTTTGATCCGACGTACCAGTCAATCTACATTCAGAATGCCACCCGAGATGGTCAACCATGGACAAGGAACTGGATTAGCCATGACTTTTTCACGGAAGGTGGAGTCCTCGAACTCACGCTGGGAACTGCAGAGAGCGACTGGGGAACCCAAGAGGAGGATCTGCCTCCGAGTATGAGTGGTTGATGGACTAGACTCGTCACCACCCAATGAAATGTTATCTACATCTAGCTGCAACAAGCTCCTGGAGGAACTGTCATCGGAATGATTGCTTTCTTTGCATACTCCTATATCTGGGATCAGAACGTCTCCCAACACAATGATTATCGACTTTATCCTTCCTGTCATCTTGACAGAACACTTGCTCTAAGAAGGCCACGAAGCTCAGCTAGGAGAAGGTACCAGCCTAGCCTCAGGTCAAGTCAAGGCCTTATGCTACGGACTAAACCCTTCACGCAGTACTCGAGGTCTCTAAATACTGAAAACTATCCGAGAGGCTTTGCGGCTCTATTGAAAGCATCGGCCAAGAACAAAATACTAGTAGAAAACTCACTGTCTTTATCATTCTCTTTGTGCGAGTCTAACTAAGCACGAAACACCTTTACATACTCAAACCTATGCATCTGGAAGCCCCTGACGGTAAATAAATTGCAATGGCAAACCTGAAGATGAGATCATGCCAAAGATTTTGGCTTAGGTAGTCATTCGTTCCTCATGTTTGTGGACTTCTTTGTCAACAAGTTTCTTTGTCCAAGAAAGCACCTTGTGGTATGATGGATAGATAGTGGATGTCCGTGAACTAGTTCAACCACGTCCACCCACCCTACTACACCCTACATGCATAATCTAGGTAGATAATCCACCTAGTTTACTTTACTATAATACGATCAAATTGCATCATACCGAACCAATCCCAACACCAGCAGCATGCAGACACCCTCCAATAAACAGCTACCATACCCTTAAAGCCCAGCATTCCCAGCCCGAAGTCAAAACAAGCTCATCCATACCCCACCCCAGCCCCCCTCAACCGTAGGCACCAGCATATCCCCTTAACCTTAACGCCCTATTTCAACCTTAAATCCCACACCTGTCAAAGCATCTACCGTAAACTCTGCTATGCAGCCCACGTAACCAGCTGCAGGAACCCTCCGGTTATCGCACAGTCCAAAGATTGCTACATTATCACTGTACGCGTGGCCCCGATGCAGGAACCGTCAACCCACCGTACATACAGTACACCTTATCTAAACTTTCGTGTCTACCGTACAGCACCGAGGGGCCAAGCCACAGTAGATCAGATCGTATCAGATCAGATTATCTAGGCAGCAACATTACCTAGTAAGCCTACTTGGGCCTGGGCTTTTGAGGTATGTACTGGACTGTCCTTCGCGTGATACCGCTACTCTTACTTTAGCCTATTGTGATTGCTTGTGAACGTTCGGATCTTTTCAGGTTTACGAGTGGGTATACGGCTCAATAGGAAGGTTGCGGGGTTTCGGGAAGGTGTATATGCTACACCTAGGTTATACCTACGTTGGTGGGTTGCTTGTAAGGGGTATGTATGAGTGTATGAGGAGGATGGGTGGTCTTCCAGTGCCATTGAATGGAGAGTATTGGTTGAAGATTATAACGGCTGGAACGAGAGTGGCAAAGGGTGGATGGCCGATTCCCCTGCTCATTTACTTCCCTGGGTGGTATTGTACTCCATTGCGGGATCATCGAGGCTTGGGTGGGGTTGGGTCCAGCTCTGGTCTGATCGCTCGATCGGGGGATATGTGCACCGCGTCTTGAGAAGTGAGAGAGGCCAGTTTCCTCAAAAACATGAGAGGGTGTATAGCCCGGGGGACGAGATCCTGTCTCCCGTAGAGAGAGATGCCCTCCACACCATCATCTTTCTTCCTCCTAGCTCGAGATCACGAGCTAGTATCATCTGGCTTCGATTTAATCCACCGAACCCAAGTCCAATTTACCTGTACAGCCCGGAGAAAGTTATGCAAACGTATGGATTTATCGCTATGCAATATGAGTCGAATACATTCCCAATCAAGATCAGATTTTCCCTGCATGGCGACCGTCAATCGCCACGAGACACAGAATCAAGCACACCCCAATCAGTTCCTCCCAAAGTGTAACAATCAAGCCCTTATTACAACATTAAGACATTAAATCATATCATCCCATGCAGTCATCTTCACATCATCAGTCATAAGCAGAATGGAAAAAGAAAGTTGAGCCAACCAACGAACGAACGAAAGAACGAACGAACGAACGAACGAACGAACACCTCGATCAGAGGTCAAATCAGCCATACTAACCCCAGTTAAATACCAGACTCATACGGCCCATGATCGCCTCGGTGCTGGAACCCGTAAGGGTTCGTCTCGGCCCACGCATTCCACGCATTACATGTCTCTTCCAGGACATCTCTGTCCAAGAACTCCTCAAACTCACTCTGTCGCTCGATGATCTGCTGTGCGAATCCCTCCGCCGCGTGGAAGCCGATGTGGCAGTGGATCAGCCAGGCACCGGGGTTATCAGCCTCAAACCCGATGACGACGTACCCCCCCTTGCCGTTTGCTGCGGGGAGGTTGAGCGTATCGCGGCGCGTGGGGTTTTCCGTCTGCAGCTTGACCGTGGAGGGGTCATAAGTACCAAGGCCTTGGGCTAGGATGTAGAAATCGTGGCCTGATGAACTTGCTTAGTACGAGATAGTGAGCAAAGACATGAAAAACTTACCGTGTAGATGAATGGGATGAACGGCAGGAATGGCCGTCTGAATGATCAGCACGGTCCATTGATTGGCAACGCTCGCCTGGATCACTCCCTGACCTGGCTCCCAGCTGGCCTTCTTGGGAGCATCAGAGGTTTGCAGTAGGGTTGGGTCGCTCCAGGAGGTATTGAAGATTTCACCTCCCATCTTCCATAGGTAGATTGGTGGCTTGCCAATGCCTCCGATGCCAGTATCAGAAGTTACTGTGTTCGCCTCGCCGAGGTCTGCGTTCAGAGCAAGTTTCGGGACAAGGGTCGACGTCGGAAAATCCTGACAGTCGACGTCGCCTCCATAGTCCCACTTCGTCGACCGCGGATCCGAGCTCGGGTTGGACCCCTTGTAGCGCAAGATGCCTTTGATGTTGTCTGCCGCCGTGTTGTTGCTGCAGTACGATTGCGGCACCGCGCGAATCCAGTAGTTATCCGGTCTTTGATTGGCAGTCACGATGATATCGTACCGCTGACCCATTCCAATCGGGACGTGATTCGTCTTGAATGGCACCATTGGGACGAAGTCAGCCGCAATTACGGTGAGGTCATGATTGTCGATCGAGAATTTGAACTGCGTGTGCATGGCAGTATTGAGCAGACGGATCCGATACCTGCGACCCGGCACAAAGGTAGTCTGGAATCGTTGGCCGACAGTAGGGCCATGCTTGGGAACCCAGACATTCGTCCCATTCAACAGGCCCGTCACCATGGTAGGCAGCTGGCCACTATTGAGATCCTCTTGATAATAGCTATAATAGGTCTCATGAAGCCAGTCACTCAGAAAGAGAACACCCAGGTCTTGATCGTAGTCAGCCGTTGAAGGGCCATGGATCACGATGCCGCCGTAAACGCCCTCCCAAGCCTGGAGAGAGAAATGCGAATGGTACCAGCTTGTACCGTACTGCTCGGCCTTCCAGACATATGTGTAGCTTGATCCGGGAGGTACAGGGCATTGAGTCAGAGCTGTTACCCCATCCATTTGGTTGTTGTTCAGCTGTCGAATCCCATGGAAGTGGATTGAAGTGCCATTGTCCTGCATGCGATTGGTGACATGCACCTTCACCGTGTCTCCCCAGTTGGCCTCGATGGTTGGACCTGGGAACTGTCCATTGACAAGAAGCACCCGCCGCTCGACCCCATCAGGTGCACGAGTGGTATTGATGATGTCGAAGAAATACTCCCGCACCACGCCTGTATCCGGGGCAGTCTTGTAGTAATTTGTGTTGATGTCAAATCCTTTCCAAGGCACCTGAGAGTTCGGTAACGACTGACTCTGATTTGCGGCCCTTGCCTCCAGCTGAGACGTCGGTTTGAATGGAAAGAGATCGTGCGCAATCGGACTGCTCAAGGCCAATGAGGCCAAGAGCCATAGAAGCAAAAGAAAATTCATTGAATAACGAGGGGCAATGGAAACGAGGACCACAAAGGAATAGACCGATTACTGACTATCCTGACATGGGTCCCCGCCTTGGACCCACGGCTTTATACCAGCACCCAGGGTGAGCCGGTGACTGTGATGTTGAGGCTTGGCCTATTCAGAATTCCAATTCGGTTCATGTTGTCTGCTCTGTCTCCATGAATCAGCCTTCCGGTCTGTCTCGCCCGGGGAAGACTGATGTGCAGGGCTCGGTGACTTCCATGCAGCACTGGCCTTGACAGGTCTTCCCGACCCATCGTTCATACTCGGATCTAAAGCAGCCCTAATGCAAGCAATCCCCCAGCTGTACGGATCTCCGCCCAGTCATATGAGACCTGTGGAGGCAATCGATGACGGACACGACGGAGTTCTGAAATGACCGCTAGCGCAGCAACAGATGGACTTTTTGGAGAGCAATTTTACGAGGAGGAAATTCAAACCCCAATTTCTGATTTGCAACCAACTCATTCTCGTATCTAACATCGCAAGCCCTACTTGAAAAGGAATGAGCCTTGACCTCGTGGCATATCGACTTCTGCATGATGGCCGGCCCAAGGCTGTGAATAAACGACCATGGATCTCCATCCCAGGGAGAACATCAGTCTCTGGAACCTCGCCTATGAGAGAAACGAGCGTTCAGACCCCGGAAATGCATATTCAGCATGGAGCTCGAGCGGATTGGCCGGCGCACTTGTCGGATCACAGCCAGTTTTGCTTCCAAGAATGATATATGTCATGATTCATGTCTTAGACGATTCAGAAGCCGACTACCGTGGCGCACACTGTGCACCAGAATGCTCGCATTACTGCAAGCCTGAAAAATAGAGGTCATTTTCACCCGCACTATTTATCGTCCGCCAGCACATGGCATGCCTGACGCTGATATCGGGCGCGTTGGGGATGGTGCTGACCGCTAGTCGTTTTTTCCTGACACCGCTCAGACATATTCCCCATCCGCTCGACGTATCAGATATCAGGCTCTTCCGGAAAGAGCTTGAAAGGCGGCTCATCACTCAGAGGTCCATTCTTGTAGGTGGAGCGACCCATGAGGCTCATTGTGTTAATTTTAGAACCCAGTAAAAATGACCTTCTGAAGCAAATAGCCTGACAGGCGCGAAAGCTTCCGTAAGAGGGTAATTTGTCTGGAAATGTAATGACGTGGGACCTTGCACCTTGCTAGATAGAAGATCCTCGGCCAATTGTGGGGAGACACCGCAGCATCGGGGCCAGGCGAGCGTAGTGGCCTTGGCGATTGGGGCGAAAATCTCTGTCACCAGGTAGAGAAAGATGTCGGTCACCCCAGTGCATTTAGAGTCTCGCTTGAGGGTACCCAGGTGACCGCGTTGCATAGAAAGATAAGAAGAACGAACCCAGAGAGAGCAGAATGTAGCGAAAAGGGACGGGGAAAAATAAAAAAAAAAAGCAAAATTAAATCACCAGCATTCAGGGCCAAGCAAGTGAGGGATCCGCCTTGTCAGGCATTTCCCAGGCCAACATTCAAGAGTCATATTCTCAACGAAAGCCTCTGATGCAGTAGGCTTATCCCGGGCCCATTGTAAAGCACTAAGTCACTAAATCTTGGCCTTGTATAGATTGGCAAATAGAGCGGCCCCGCAAGCCACGAATGCACTCTACTCAGTATACGAACCCGATTAGCGAAACCACGCCAGCTAAACCCACTCGGGCCGTATGATGTGACTAGTAGAATGGCGGCTCAAGCCAAATTTCGAGCTCAAAGTTGGAGATAGGGACAATGGCCAAGCTCGAGTTCCTCAACCCATCGGAGAGCCCGAATGGGAATCGAGGACCTGGCCGAAAGTTACGAGTTCATGCCCTGCAGGAATGCCAGGGGCAGTCAGTATGCGCTGGCACAACGCCGCCAGCTCTCCTCCCTCCTTCATGAGGGGCAAAAGACACCGAGCATGAGCTGGACATGATTTCATAACTTATCCCCCGAAGAAGAGACATCAAGCGTCAGGGGCTCAAGAAGATACGGTCGCGCGCTCATGGCGCGCAGAATGCCTTGCGGTGGGTTCCAATTGGCGAATCTGGATTCCAGCTACTATGGCCTCTGATGAACCGGCCCCACGGCAATAGCCATGTCTGAGTAACGCTCCCTCGGTTCGGGGGGAAATGAATCTTGTCGCACGCACAAAGGACCGACCCGCGCGGTGCACTCCACCACGTGCCCGGCAGATTCTGAAGCCAACCAAGTGCGCGCTGCGCCCTCGTTAGACCGAGTCCTGGTGGTAGAGAGGCGTAATTATTACTGCGCAAGAAAAAATATGGGGGAAACGTGACGAGAGCAAGACCATTCACGGAAATATTCCGATATCCAGAGACTTAGTAGCATGAACTATGCTTCTTGCTGTGTGTGTTCAGCTGCCGGGTGGAGTCTTGGTCCTGCACTATTCCTGGTCCAGTAATGAGGCGACTTGCTGGACCTGGGGATCTTGTGATCAGTCGTTCCTTGTGGGAGATCGTTGGGAATATTCTGCCCATGATTACCACTGGGGAAGTAGTAGAGTGAGATCGCGTGTCCTAATAGTTAGCGGTGAGAAGATGCCGCTTAGAAATCGTGCTAACTTGTGCTATTGGGCATTAGGACCGTCTGCTAAGCACCACCAAGACGCGGCACACGTGGAGCCTTGGGTTGTGTAATTCTTTTTTCTTCCGGGTGAGAATTGCCTTCCAGTGTTTGTATATCGTATTCGAATGACCACCTAAGACGCAAAGGAGTTTTCTTAGCCAGTAATGCAGTCGGGGGTGGGTGCCAAGTTGTTGACCTACAGATCGTGGCATGACAGCCAATCGTGAAAGCAGGACCTCGATGGACGAGTAGAAGTCAGGCCGCTGAGGTTCTGGTAGACACACTAGTGATTAGTAGCTGATAAGCAAGATCAAGGATCGGCAATTTAGTGCTGGAGCTGTGGAGAGGGAGTGACCGGGGTGAAAGGGCTAGAGTTGTTGGTGGGTTGGTGGGAGGATGAGGAGGGAAAAGCAAGCAGCTGGGAGAGAGTTAACCGAAGATGGCGATCTTTGACGGGCAGGCACTGGCGGGCATTCCCCACGTTGTTGGGGATCACGCCATCTCCGCCTTCACCTTTGTTTTGACCTTTCCCCAAGTTCTTGGGATAATCTTGGCCGCAAGCAGAGCTCATGATAAGAGACAGACTAGATTGCCGTCTCGTATATCGCCAGATTGCCCCCATTCCGTCCACAACGCTCCGCCCTGTTTCCCGCAAAAGACACTGCAATGATTACCTCGACGCTGCAGCATGTGAAAGGCCAGCCAAGCGGTCATCCAATCTTACAATTCTTACGGTGTGGGAAATGCCTTGATTACCAGAGGTCGGCAAACTGACAAGAGAAACCAAGACCTCCAAGACAGAGATCTAGAAGCCTCTGAGCTCGGCTCTCGCCAGAGTGTACTTGCGCAAAGCCGAGAGGCCTGTGCGGGGACTAGCCGGGGTAATGTGAAGCTATCGCGACGCCAATTACGTACTCCTGCTCAGCTACGCCAGCATTGTTCTTTCTCTGCGCCGCAAATACATCATACACACGATGTCTTGTTGTTATGATGAACAGCTGTGAAGGATGAGGGGAAATACATGGAGTCCGAAAGGACTACAAGTACAAGCGATGCTGATGAATCGCCGATTCCCACCGTTGGCTCGCTTGCAATGGTTGCTATTTCCATCCAACTTGGAGCAAGAGATCGCGCCCCACAGGGATCATTTACTAAGGGAGATGATTCTACGGAGTTAATGGCAATAGCCGATCGACATACGCCGACGCCTGCGTGCAGCACCGCCGTTAGTGCGACCGGTCCGTATGTGAGATATATGAGGATCTATGTAGTAAGTCGACTAATTCCATAGTTTCGATCTATCCTGACAGGCCTTATAAGTTTAATGAGCTTTTAGAAGATGAAGGTAGAAACGGTACTACAAAGCGCGATTCTCGACACCTCCTTTCGGCGTCAGATCAGAACTATGCAACGCCTCAAATTAGAATGATTCCTGCTTGACTAGTTAACTATCCCCTGCGCCTCTACGCTGATCTAATCCCATCAGCCAAATAATGCACTAATATTACACTTCACGACCGCTACAGCTCAACGAGGCCAGTTTTACAAAGTTCACACTATATCCACACAATAATCATACCCGTAACCTATTTATACACATCCAACCCAAAAACAAAACCCCTTCCAGAACAAGTAACAGTCCCTCATTCCTTCAGCGGATCATGGCCCCAGTTCTTCAAAGACCGATAGCTCTTGCTATCCGTGTTCTGTTTCGCGGTCTCCTCCTGGGCCAGATGCCGCTTGCAGTATGACACCACCCTCCGCATATGATCGATGTCCTCATCCGAGTACTTGGAGGCATCCTTGGACGGGTTGCTTTCGAGAATGTCCACGATTTTGCGACCACTAGCAAATGCGGGAAAAGACACACTCAAGCTCAGCATACATGCGACATCACACGCAGGGCTACAAGGATGATCCCGACGCAAAAAGAGAAAAAAATAAAGGGTGCGGCTTACCTCTCATGCCCGACCGTCTCGCCTGACTCATTGTTCTTGCTCCAGCCGGAGGATTGGGACTGTTCCTCTTGGAGCCAATCGCGGAGCTCGTTGGGGGTCATGTTGACCAGCTCGTTGAATTCGCTGGGTTGTTCTTGATCAGCGCTACCTTCATTGGAGTGGCTAGCGGGCATGTTGATTTTAATGCTTACTCGATGACCGTGTCCTTACTTTTAACCATCTTGAAGTTGATTTATTGGGATTGGTTTCGTGTGCTTGAGGACAAGAAATGGTTGAATTACCAGCTGTTATGTACCTTCTGCTGGGCGGGCGTGACGTCACACTTTCCGCGAACAAACACCAGCGTCATCGTGTGTAGTGCATCTTAGCCGGCTGCAAATGCGGTCGGTTCCGAGATCCTATCAGAGAATTTGCGGAGAATTACTTACCAAGTCAGGTAGAGTTCGATCCATCTCAGATTTGGTTCGCAATTCGTGGTTCGGGGCAATACGGTCACCAGTTGGAGCATTTCTAGATAGTCCTCGATGGAAAACTATGCAATTTATCTTGAAAACGCGGGGCACTATCAAATCCATAATGTTCAATTGCGAGTATGCCTACAAATCCACTCATCCTCCAGCAGTTCTCTCGCTGAGCTACGCTGGGCAGGGTCCCACTGCAACATCTTCCGCACTAAGCGCAAGAAATCGGCCTTTTCCTGCCCTTCAAGGGTCGTTTCCCTCTGCTCAAGCGAGATTGGTTCTTGCAATGGCATACCAGCACAGAATTCACCTATCATGCCAGACGGGGTGAGCAAACATTGAACTTATCACGACGGAAATCACCTTACCTTCATCAGAGAAGAACTTGTACTTTAGTCTGCCTCGAGCAAGCAGACTGGGTGGAGGAGGTCCATGTAGGCAAACGATCTCTGCGAGATGGGCCCTACTTCGATATGTCTGATATTCTGGGTCGTATCCGGTGAACAGGGATCCGCCTTCATACACATTCCAAATCTGTGAGAAGAGAGAAAGTCAGAAAGCTCGCACGCAACCAGGATTATCAGGGTCATTCGCATACCATGCAACCAACATTCCAAATGTCAACACTGTACGTTCAAGGGGCCTCGAGAATCACTTCCGGTGCCCGATAAATATCAGGCTGAATATCTTCTAGGTGCTCTACATCACCAGGCACAGCTGAGCCAAAGTCACAAAGGACCGGGGCGCCCCATTCCCCAGGCAACCCCAGCTCCCGGGACACGTAGGTAGTTCTGCCATCGAGCTCTTTCCTTGGACTAGGGTTTTCAAGCTCTTCTTTAACGAGACCACGAAAGACAGATTCATCTCCAACACCGAACATGATATTGTCGGCCTTGATATCTGATAGACTTGAGGTATCAGTATAGTGATGAGACAATTCATGTCTCTGAAGGAACATATACCAGTATGTATGATCTGGCACTCGGTATGCAGATAATCCAACGCCAAGCATAGGCGCTTGAGGATGGATGCAAGGACAGGTACAGGCAGCCTCCGCACCGGGTTCCGGTACAAGAAGGTTAAGGCACTTTCCCACAAGGGAGGATGTACAAGACAACGATGCTTATCATGGGGTCCATTGATGTCAAACGAGTCAAGTAGGGGTCTAATAGCGCCACGACCTGGGTGATTTCTTGAACCCCTTTCTATACGTTGGTACATGTTAAACTCATCATTCAGATGCTGCCCGATCGATGCAGCTGTGATGTAGATCTTAAGGGTCACGTAGCGACGGTAGCTAATGTTTAGCTCATCAACGGGTTATTTTGAAAGTTCCGGATCTATAAGTAGCAAGGAGTGCTCACTTCATGTCCCGCGCAAGCCACACGGTCGAGCTGGTCCCGAATCCAAGTTTTCCCACAATCTGATATTGGTTCTTGAGAACTTCACCTACCCGAGTCGGGTAGTAGCGTGATGCAGCATAGTCAGGCATAGTCTCCTCTTCGACTTTCTGACTGGAAGGGATAGGAACGAAGTTCGCGTTGGAGAAATCAAGGGGCTTCCATGTCGGTCTAAGCCGGGGTAACGAGCGTATCAACGACCTCAGCATCATATAGATCTTGACCAATCTGCTGGTTCAAATTTCGTGTCAGAGCTGTGTCTCATGATATGGGCGATCAAAACCTGCATCAATCAGGATGACGGGATGGTGCAAGACTGGGAGCTGGAAGAGGTGACAAGGATCGCCTGTCACGTGAGACAGCTTCGCCAAACAGTAATCTATACTGTCTTGATGGTTACTTCCTTCATAACAGACATGAAGTCAGAGATCACGAATGTGTAGGCGTTGCTGTTGCACAATTCATGATGAAAAAACAAGATCCACAATAATCTATAAAAGCGTCTGACCGGGGGCAGCCTGTTCTCTTCCGAAGATCACATGTTTTAAGTTGCCCAGTGCACTTCACGAAGGAATTCTACATGAACTTCTCAGTTGCTGAGCTTCCTGGTCGAAGGCTCGCTACCACCGGATACTCAAAGTGGCTATTTCGCGCTCTAAACCGTCCTAGCCCAAGCATGGATTGGCCGGTAAACAGATACAAGGCAGTCGGTCTACCGAAAGCCGCCAAGGGCAATTCCGCACCGCTGAATCTGCTTGTAAACGAGCTCCTTGGCGAGGTAATCTTGGGTGGCATCAATAATCGTATCGAGCTCATCAACACCATCGAGACCTATCTCTGCCAGTCCGTTTGGCACATCGAAGCGAAACAGGCGGCTTGCATCATCCAGCTCGGTATGCTCCCTGATGAACTTATTCATGTCCCTCTCCGTATCGACATAGTCCTTGGGCGTCGTCTTAATCAAGCCAAACATCGACTTATTGAGCCGTTTGATCGACGGTACGCCGGTTCCAATCGATATCAGACATTGGATCTGGCTGTCCAACGATCCTGAAGGCCAGATTCCTCTGGCTTCTATCCAGACCTCCCGCACCGGGTTATTCGCTTCGGTAGTACTGTTGTAGAACTGTCGTCCGCTGGGGCCGATCGGAACGGGGTCAAACAGTGGTGGTGTGGACATACTCGCCTTCCCTGCTTGCCACACCTTCGCGGTCTTGAACAGCTCGTTGGAGCAATATTTGCTGGGGTAGCTCGTCAAGGGGGCCGAGTTTCGTTTGGATCCGTCATCTGTAATGCAGGCAAAGCTTCGTCGGGTCAGTCTTGCCAACTTGAAGAGAATGATCAGTTCGACAGCATGCTTACACTCTGCACGAAGTATCAATGTCCCTCAGCAGCACATCGTCCTCATACCCAAGCTCGTGTAGAATTGCTTTCATCGCCGATTCAACCCTTCGTCCATCGTATTTCGACTGCCGACACAGATTGCTTGTGAAGGGGATATGTCTTTTGCGCGCGAAAACGAATTTCAGAAGTCGTCGGTAGGCATTGATACACTGGTCAATGTCCATCTTTAGGCGACCTAGCATAATCGCGATCAATCTATAGTAGTTTAGCTGGCGACCGAGGCTGCTGTGCAGGTATTGCGCAAGATCAGCTTACCCGCCCGATCCCGAACCTCCGATGAGATCAAAATAGTCGCATGGCCGCGGCGTATTTTCGCCATCAATAGATTCCATGATGTGCTTGAGAATGTAAAGTGAAGAGAGGCTCCTAACTCCCCCGCCATCAAGGCTGAGGAGACTAATGTTGCGCTCCACCATCGATACAGTCGGTGGTCGTGTTGACAGATGTAAAGTCAATTCGAATGCTGTTCCAGATTTTCAAGTCACGCATCTCGGGAGCTTGAACGTCTAAATACGAACAGAAGGTACAATAAAGATTTTCGGTCAGATGAACCGCCTCAAGACCCCGCGACGATGACGCAAAGTAGCTAATCCCATGAAGCACTATCGGGGCTGTGATTAGTGCAGCCAGTGGCAGTCGAGCTCCTGGTGACAGCGTTCCCGACCCGGTGGGACGATCGACACTGTCAATGCGGGCTGGTGGCAGATTTTCATCGAATGACATTGACGCCTCGTGCCTCGGGCATGTCAATTGGCGATGCCCAAGCCACAGGCACGGACTGTTATCGGTCACTCTGATTAGATGAGCTTCTTCGTGTTGGAGGCTCCTGTGTCGCGATTGGGGTTGAAAATCATAGGCTGCCATGGCCGCCACGTAGGGACGCTTCAGCGCCATCAAGCTCCCAGGCCGAAATACCAATTATCATTGGTCCTCGAATTTAATTATCCTTCTGCCTGAACTTACTCAATGCTATCCAGTGCTCTGGGTGGGAGCACGTTGTTCATCTTGTATGATTTCGTGTGGCATTTGGGTCTGAAAGCTTGAGATTCACATTCCCTCCACCTTAAAAGCATATTCAAAATCCAACCTCAGCATGGAACTTAACAGCTCTGAAACACCAAGCTCTCCGTTATCTGTGATAATGTAGGGGTATTCTGTTGGCTTGCTGTGGTGAGAGTGATGGTCTTCGCTGCGTCTTTTGCGATGGCACCGACTGGTTTCCTATCGACTACCCCAGGATTGTCAGCACATGATTTTTTATCAAAGAGGCCAAGAATATCTTCAGATACAACATCAATAGACACTGATCGAGAATGTACGTATCGGGGTAAGGCTTCAGACTGCGCAGGAGGGGCGGAGAGAGAGAAGAGAAGAGCTCGGAGAGCCTCCGACAGGCGGGGTATGTCCATCCTCTCCACCCTCACCTTTATACTATATAGAAACTACCCCACGATCTCCACCCAAGCTTTACTTTACTTCTACCACTTCCCTTTTACAACAAACCATCCCTCCAACAACTACCCAAGATGGTCCTCACCAAACCCGAGAACAGAAACGTCCTCAAATCCTTCGACCTAACCGGCAAAGTCGCCGCCATCACAGGTACAACAGTATCTCCATCCCAACCACCCACCTCTCTCTCTAACCAGCTAAACCAAAGGCGGCGCCCGCGGCATCGGCCTGGAAGTCTCGACAGCCCTAGCAGAAGCAGGCGCCGACGTGAGCCTCGCCTCAACTCCCTTCCAAACCCATCCTCAACCCCAAACCCGGCGCGCTAACAATCTCATTGTGCCCAAAAGATCGCAATAATCTACAACAGCTCCTCCCCGGAAACCGCGACGACCATCGCAACAACCCTCGCCTCCGCCCACAACATCAAAGCCACCGCCTACCGCGCCGACGTCTCCGACCAAGCCTCCATCGCCGTCACCATCCAACAGATCGCCACCGACTTCTCGCGGCTCGATATCATCGTGGTGAACTCGGGGATCGTCTCCAACATCCCGGCGGAGGAGTACACGCCGGCTCAATGGCACGAGATCATGAAGGTCAACCTTGACGGCGCCTTCTGGACCGCCCAGGCCGCCGCCCGGATTTTCAAGGATCAGGGCCATGGGAATGTCATCTTCACGGCGTCGGTCAGCGCGACGCTGGTTAATGTGCCGCAGAGGCAGGCTGCTGTGTGTTTTTGAAACCCAAACCCCCCCCCCCCAGCCCCCCAATAGTCTTCCTGTGATAAGGTCGGAATGAGCTGGGCCAGAGTGAGCTGTGAAAGGGGCCAATTGAAGGGCTGCGCTGATGAATATGTCTTCGTTGGGGCGGTCTAGTATAATGCTTCCAAAGCGGGCGTCGTGCAGATGGCCAAATGCCTGGCCGTCGAGTGGGTGGATTTCTGTCGCGTGAATTGCATCTCGCCCGGGTTCATCGAGACCGATATCTTGGACATCCATCCGCAGGAGTGGCGGGAGAAGTGGTTTGGTATGATCCCGGCGCAGCGGATGGCGGACGCTTATGAGTTGAAGGGGGTAAGCTTCTTTGTTTCTTCTCTGACTGCTGCCTTTTGAGGGAATGGAAGGCGAATGCGGATGCTGACGGTAGTCCTGGGGATTCTTTTTAGGCCTATGTGTTTTGCGCGTCAGATGCGTCGAGTTATATGACTGGCGCGAATCTTGTGATTGATGGGGGATATACGCTCCCATGAGAATGTACTGGAGAAGCAGGGCAAGTGTCGAGAATGTATGGCCCAGGACTAATGCAAGATATACTGGATGGGTCTTCGTCTTAATTACAGCCTAAGCGTACTTGTTAAGACTAGTATCCACTCGCAGTAAGTCAGCAATAGGTTCATCAAACTTCCACTAACAAGCTGAAGCAAATTGAGGATAGAGAGCTACCAACTGGACCGGCACTGATTCGTCTTATCCTTCGAATATGTTCATGTGCAATTGGCTGTCTGGAAAGAGGCGTATCTGGCACGAAGGGCAAGAGCAGAGAGAAGAAAAGTAGCGATTGATCCTTTGTCTTTAGAACATTGGCTTTAGTATCATCTCACATCCACCTCCGCTGACATAACCGGACATCAGAAGATGAAGCTTAGCGTATGGGATGATATTACTACAAAAATAATCCATGAACCGCCGAAGAGCACATATTCAAGCCAGGTTATACCATCTCATGATTTTTTTTTGGGTTTCTTCTTGGCCATGAATTAAGATAAGAGGATGCAATAACTCTAGTCTAGCTATACAAATATACGTATACATGGATATCATAACAGTCCGACACCGAATCTCGTCTACACCAATATAAAACACCTCGTGATACAATCCCGCATCAAGCACATACATAGTCCAAAGTTCCAGGTGTATTCTCAATTCTCAATTCCCTACCGACCATCAAAAGTCTCATTGCTTGTTGACACCGCTCGTCGTCCCCAGCCACTGAAGAGCCCGCCCCCATTCGCAGGCTCTGCGGGTGCTTTGGATAAAGGTATACCCAGACTAGATGATGACCGGCCCAGGAATGAGAGTCGAGCTTCTGTGTTTTGGCCATTTCGCGAAACCACCTTACGCAGTGCGTCGAGCGCTCCCTTGACCTCTTCGAGTTCCTGGCGTGCCACTGCCTCGGCCGTCTTTGCATTCACCAGTTCCAAAAGCAATGCTTCTTCCGCGGCCGGCTTGTTGTTTTC